ACCAAAATCTTGTTCTTCCCGCATTTCATAGTTCTCTAGACCGGTGTATCCTATGTATTGATAACTTATAATCAAATACTTTTAAAACCAAAGTTTTGGGAGTTTTTTTCCCTATATATAAATAAACTACCAGATAAATTTGTAGAATTTCTGACAAGAAATTTTGATTCATTAACGTCATAAACCTTTCAAATAGTTTTCTCCTATACTAGGTTTGAATGCATTACATGCATATAATTCAATGTTATTTAAATGTGTGGCAATGTGTGTGGCACAATCAAGTCAAGTCGCCACGACAAATTGTAAATTTCATTTACATTTACACAACGTTTAAATGAGTTCTCAAAAAACAGCATTGGAGAAGCATATATATCTACCTTAGAAGAGTAAATTACGGGAATGAGATGTCGAATAATAGAAGAGTAAATCGGTACAAGATCGAGAAAAGTTGTGGTCACTGGTCGATCATACAATATTTCATTAATGATCAAATGAACGAACATTAGTGGATATATCACCTATATGGTATGAATTCTTGTGAAATGGAACGTAATAATAAGAATTTTGACTCAATCATCAATGTTCTTGTACGAACGCTAGAGCTTGGTAGATCATAGTGTTGGGCTGAGTGTTTTTACTTTTATATTTCGTCGTACTAACTATAGACTAAAGTGAATAAGTTGATAAAGAAACCAATAGAAACAATAAAACATGGAAAAAAAAGAAGAAGAAGTAAAGATGGAAGAGGGGTCCATTTCTGCCACCGTCCTCTCGTCTTCAAGGTCTGCAACACAGTATATGCCTTAACCCTACACCTTTGTTTTTTGCATACAATTTACAATATACTATTATACTTGCAATATCACAATGAATTTCTTTTGTACCGTGAACCTTTTAGCAAATAATAAATCGCATTGATTACTATCTCTCTGTCTTGATACTGACAGTTTAACTCTCTGGCTAAAGAACAAATGTTGTTTGCAGAGGTATCCATTTTTAAAAGACAGTAAATAAAATCCATTTAACCGGAAAAAAGTTTCCTAACTATGAATTGGTGGTTCAGATTGTTTAAAACTAAGTCTTACTTGTTGCTAGTTAAAACTCTATATTAAATAAATTCTAAGGGGTATAATATTATTCTTATTCAATTGTGGTGGGAAAAAATAAACACAAAATTATATAACTAAATTACAAAAATAAAAATATGAAAGATAATGCAGGTTTTTGACCCAAAAAAAAAACTAACATAAACTAAAATAAAAATTAACTAAATTATTATTAGATTAATAGATTTTTGGCTAAATCTATTAATGTTCGGAAACTCTATAGTACATTCTAAAGGCAAAGGGTATAATTTCACGTTTTTTGTTTTATAAGTAATAACAATACGCGTTACAGAAAATAACATGATCTTCTTCATATACAAAGTTACGAATATTATAGCAAGTTATTTGGGGTATCAATGCGAGTCAATTCGTGCAACTATAAAATCTTATTCAGGTATCAATGCGAGTCAATCTACGCTTATTCAATTCGTGCAACTATAAAATCTTTTTTTGCAGGCTCTGATTGACTAGAATATTATATGCTGCAGTTTCTGACTATGAGAGTTCTCTCTTGTACGGTCAATTTTTATATGGTCCAATTGATCGATTTATGGACTATCTAAATAAAAAAAGGTTTGTTTTAAGAACTGAAAAAAAAAATTAGTTAAACATTCATAGTAAGTGAAAATAATGAATGATAAAATCTAAATTAAAAAATCATATATAAACCTTAAAATATTTATAAAATATATTTAAATGTGAATATTTCTTAGGATTGAGCATCCAGTTGGTTCGCGTTTCAGGTTTTTAAAAAATGTTAGAATAAATACCAAAATTTATTTATGTTGGTCTGGTTTAGTTCAGATTTTGTTTGGTTTGGATTAACAATTACATAAAAAAAAGGATATAATTAATTTTTATATTTAAAATATATCTTATATATTTAACTAAAATATCAATTTTACAGAATTCAATTTTATCAGGTTCGGTTGCAAAAAAATCATCACCGATTTGGTTTATTTGGTGTAAAATTTATCTACCGTTTGGTTTGTTATAAGATTGGATTATGCTTTGGGTTGTAGTCATAATTGTTTGGTTGTTTCGGTTTTATTTTAATCTTCACCCCTAATATTTTTAATTTTTGTGTTATATATTACTATATGGTAATCTACACTAGTTAATATGTTTCGAATACCATTTTTTAAGGATTTTTGTAATAGTTATATATATATATATATGAAATTATTTTAGTTTACAACAATAATATAATTAATTTTCATTTGTAAGCGGTTTTTATAGTATCAAACCATTTAAAGTTAGTTAACAATTAATTAACTTGGAAAAATATAAGATCATATCTATGCTAATGCTATCAGTGAACCTTTGGTTCACATACTTATACACAAAGTTAGAAATGTTATCATGTAGAAAAAAGTTGAGAAAGATTTTAGAAATGAATACAATATTGTATTACACAAAATTAATTTTAAGAAAGATGACTGTGAATTATCAACTAGTAAGATAAGCCTACGAAAAAGGTTAATGTGAGAAATGAAAAAAGGAGCCTACGTAGCAATTATTTAATTAGGTTCCCTGATGCCCAACACTTTAAGTATTATACATTTGTATTACATTATTCTCGACGCTGCCTAGTTCTTCCTATCTAGATATAGCCTACTTTCCAGTTGGAAAAAGGACTCAAATTATCAATTTTCAGTTAATGCCTTCAATTAAATATATATGTAAAAACCAGTTATTAGACTTTGAACAGATGAAAACTGTAGATAAAGTCATAAAACAGTAAACGAAAACATGTCGCAAGGGTCTCTCTTTAAGACCAATTAAATAGGTTTAACGTTGTAGGATTTTTTCCTTTTCATGTGAATTCATTCAGAAAATGAATATTTCTAGAGAGAAATTGTTTTAACAGCAACTTTTAAACACAATAGTTTCCATATGCACTACTACTAAAACATTAGTACTCTATGTTAAGCACGATTAATTGGTGAATTTCTTTCCCCAAATATTTTTGGTAAATATTTCGATTTCCTACGTTGATGTCCTGAATGGCGGTAAGTGTATTAAAATTTTGATTTTTTTTGGTAAATAGTAATGCATGTGAGAAGAGTTACAAGTCTCTCTCTCACAATCTACCTTAGACGCGAAATAACCAGTAAGGTTCTCTTGACTGAGAGCCACTTCGCCAAACTTATTCATAGGCCAAGATCAATAGTCAACTATAGAAGTATTTTCAGTAAGCATGCATGAATTAAAATTGGAAATGATTTATTGAAAAAGTATATGTTGGATAAGATATAGAAGGTGTATGGTTAACTTAAGTTTCACGACTTTGGGGAAGTATAATGTGGAATCTTTTGAGATGAAGGCAGATTGCATGCGCGTATACTTTTTCGAAAGACATTAATCTAAAAATCCTGCATTTTCTTTTCTTTAACTTTTGGGAGTCTTCAAGTTGAAGACATTTTCACACTTTTTCTTTAATTTCTGTTTTTGTTCTCATTATATTTTAATTTTTGTCTATGATAAAAACAAATAAAGACAACCAAATCTAGGTCAAGTGAAATATTTGTTTCATTAATTGTTTGCATACCCACAGACATATGTTAAATGAATAATTTATAGCTCTGATTCAATTTTGATGAAAAAAATTCTATAGTAAATAAACTAGGTTCGAATATATTGATTGTTAATTAAGTAAATAAAAATTCGGATGTAGGAAAACAATTGGAAAAAGTTTCAAAAGATTTTTATCGAGCTTTACACACTAGGATTGTATTGTAACTAGGCATAGGAAAAAAAAACTAGGCATATAATTTTTTTTTTTTTTTTATGAAACCCTTTAAAAAAAAGAGAGAAAAATTTGACATATACAACATTGTTTAAAATTGAAAATAATTAACAACATTAATTAATTATGCAAATATGGGATTTATTTTTAGTACTTTTCTCTTCATTTGGGAACAAATATTACTATATATCTTCATATATATATATAATTAAAAAAAAACGAATATGCACAAAAATATCTAGACATTATTCCAAAATTTCAAACAAATATTCAAATGTATAACGCATGGTTGTGGTAAGAAGAAAAAAAGAGTCTGAAACGTAAGTCTTCATTGCCCTCTCTTTTTAGTGGAACGAGAAAAAGCTGTTGTGTATCATTATCAACGGCTTAAATATACAAATTTAATCATAAAAGGAAAAAAGAAACTTTTTTCCCTTCTTCTTTGTTGGTAGAATTGTAATTAAAAGGAACAGTAGATTTCTCAGACGATGACCTTAATCATAAGTTCCTTACACTTTTTGCTCCTCGAAATGCGAATCTCATTCAACATTAGGCCTTAATCATAGTTATCCACATGAATGAACCACATACAATCTCTTCTCTCTCCCTGTATGGTATCCATAAAAATAAACGTGACTTTAACAAAATAAAAAATAAATAATTGGAACTCAACATCAATCATATAGAGTCAAATTATTCCATTGCCGACTTTGATTAACATGTAATTCTAAGCCGACCAACATGTGTGTGTATGTTGTGTGAAACATATGCTTTTCAAGGTTTAATAATTAGTGAAGGAGAATTTGACATTTACCAAACAAAATGTTACAATTTGGTGTAACTTCTTTTTTTCTGCTTCATACAATTTGGTGTAACTAAGATATACATATATAGGTATGTCATATGTGTGTGTGTGTGGAGGGTTTTTTTCACATAGTTATGTATGTCTGAAGAATTCGATATGGCACGCATGATTGAAGAATAATGATTGAGGAATTTTTCTGTAACAAATAAAAGTGAAATAAATAAAGGAATAAATATGTGGCTAAGAACTTAACAAGGACACATGTTGATATGTGAAATAGGAATCTTATAATAAGGAACAAAAGGTTGAAAGCAAAAGGGTATTTATTTAGTTTACTTTCCTATTCAGAACCCTTAACTTCTGCTATCCTTTCCACCAACAATAATACTCTCTTTTTTTTCCTCTTCTTCTTCTTGTCCTTTGATTTTAGACCAACTAAACATATCAACAAATTAAAGTCTCTCTCTCTCTTTTTTTTTTTAATATCAATTTTGTTGTCCAAATGTTCATCTCTTTGGGAAAACCCTAGACTAAAGATTCCAATCTCTTTTCTTCTAAATATTTCTTCATTTTTTTTTTCCTTTTTCGATTTGGGTATGTTGGGTCATTGAATCTTGTGACTGCCATGGCAGATCTTTTGGGGATCTGCATAGAAGAGTTGCTTCTTGTAGCAGCTTTCAGGTAGCTGTGTCCAGCCTGCATCAGATGTTATTAACTCACTACACACAAAACACCACAACAACAACAAAACGGCAAGCATTTTGAAGAGCTAAACAAAGCAAGTGGGCAACAAAAACGGCACGCAAGTTTTCATTCCAAGCTGATTAAAAAAAGAAAAATAACTCTTGAAAATGTCATTTTGAGAGGTAACAAAAAATGGGACTTAAAGGTTATAGCGTCGGAGAAGGAGGAGGAGAGATAGTTGAGGTTCAAGGCGGTCACATAATCCGAGCCACGGGACGCAAAGACCGTCATAGCAAAGTCTTCACATCAAAGGGTCCACGTGACCGGCGCGTGAGACTCTCAGCTCATACTGCGATTCAGTTCTACGATGTGCAAGACCGGTTAGGGTATGACCGGCCTAGCAAAGCCGTAGATTGGCTCATCAAGAAAGCCAAAACCGCCATCGATAAGCTCGAAATCGGGGAGACTACTACTACTATTCGTCAAGAACCGGTGAATACTAAACCGGAATCTCCCAATTTGGTGTTCCAAAGAGAAAACAATGACCAAACGCAGCAAACACAGTTTGTAGCGGCCAATCTTGACCCTGAAGACGCAATGAAAACGTTCTTCCCGGCGACGACAACAACAAGCGGGGGTGGTACAAACATGAATTTCCAAAACTACCCTCATCATGATGACGACAACATGGTCTCAAGAACAACAACAACACCACCAAACCTTAGCCAAGATCTCGGTCTCTCTCTTCACCCATTCCAAGGAAACAACAACACAGTAGTAGTCCCTGAGACCAACAATTTCACCACGAATCATTTCGACACATTCGGGAGAATCTCTGGATGGAATCATCCCGACTTAACGATGACGTCATCATCCTCATCAGAACATCAACAACAAGAACAAGAAGAAAGGAGTAACGGTGGTTTCATGGTGAATCATCATCATCATCATCAGCATCAACCGTCGATGATGACATTACTTAATAGTCAGCAACAACAAGTGTTTCTTGGTGGCCATCAACAACAACAACAAAGGGGTACCCTTCAGTCCAGTTTATTCCCTCATTCGTTTCGTTCTTGGGATCATCATCAAACGGTGTCGGATCATCATCATCAGAATCAAGCTTCTTCGATGTTTGCTTCATCATCACAGTTTGGTTCTCATGGGATGATGATGATGCAAGGCCTTAGTTTCCCCAACACTACAAGGCTACTCCATGGAGAAGAATCTACTCAACCAAACTCTTCTTCTTCTCCTCCAAACTCACACCTCTAAATTCAGGTTTGCTTCTTCTTCTTTTTTAATGTATCTATACATTTAGTTGTGTTAGGTTAATCAAGAAACCACACAAAATTAAATCTGTTAAAATATATCTTAATTAAACCACATATATTTCTTTCAGACAACAATGGAGGTTCTAATTCATCATGACATTGAACAAAAAGGAGGAATTAATGTGAGGAATGGAGCTAGAGTACGCGATATATTAATTAGTATACCATCTATCCATATATTTATGATGCAAGACTATAATTACTCTTTTGGTGTTATTGTTATTATTATTCAATTTTGCTTGTTTGTTTTTATGATCTTTGCATTGATCATCAAGATTATGATATTGAAACTAGATGGGTTCTATGTGTGTTTTGGCTTTAGTATGGCCTTAGGCTGGGATATTGTAATCTCATTTTTTGTTCCACGAGTTTAATTTTCTGGTTTTTGGTTGCGGTTTCTATTTATTCGGTTAAGTCTCATTTTTTGTTCCACGAGTTTAATTTTCTGGTTTTTGGTTGCGGTTTCTATTTATTCGGTTAAGTAAAGAGCAACTTGCACGTTGAAAGCTTAGGTCGTATTAAATGAGTAATGAAGAAGAGGTGTTCATTATCATCTGTGCAGATACCAATTTTCTTTTGTAACATAGCTTCTGAGTTCTGATGACTTTTATTTTTAGCTTAGCTTGCTAAAGAGTTGCGACTATTTAATAGAAAAGTCAACATTATTACAAATTTGGGATTTTTATGAAAAAGTTGCTATTGAGTATTCAATGCTTTGTGACAGTGATACCAAAGGATCTCGATAGTTTAGTCTGCTTTACTTGGTCTTATTGGGTTTGAAAGAAGTTTTTTCTATAATTCATTTTGGAATAAATTTTTAGTCATATAGATAGGCGGGCTATAGAGAATGACATTTATCACTTTTTTGGCACTTGTATAGTATATATGTACCTTTATTGGTTTGAGAAATACATGCTGATATATTTAGGTTAAAGGAGTTTGTACTTTGTAGTCACATGATGATCATTAAATTTTTTCCCAACGATGATCATCATTTTTATACAAGACGTTAAAAGCTAAAGAATGCTCGTACTTTTAGAAGTCATCTGATGTGAGAATGACTACTTTGGCCTTTTGATTATGGATTGTGCTTGGATTATTAGAAGAGGTCAACAAAAGGATTACAACTTCAATCTACAGTTTTATGAATGTGATGGGTACATTTTGATTAGAAGAAAAACTGGTAAACCACATTTGTTTTAAAAAGATTTAACCAAAGTGTCAAAATATCTATAATTTTCGAAAATAAGCGGTAGACCAAACCGGTGCTTTAACTAATGTTTCCTTTATGAAACAAACAATCTTGTGAACTATATGTCCCTTGGTGCACATGAGAATTGACATTGTTTACCACCAAAAGTAGCATTATCAGAAAACATCTCCAAGATGTAACTTGCGTTGATGACAAGCATTAAGGCTTTTTGATGATTTAACAATTTCCAAAAGAAAAAATACTGAAGATGACCAAGATCCTTGAGATGGAAGTGATTATATAGCCGAAATTTCAATTAAAAACAAAAACCAAACTATCATGGCATCATCCACATAAACATACCAACAAAAACTTTACCATAATACAATGTATATGATCACCGTAAAAGATTTCAAATCCCATAATAAAAAGAATTTTAAGAACCATTGTCGATAGACTTACTTTAACCATAAATGAATTTCTGAAGTCTGCAAACCATCTACCATGAATTCTCCATTTTTTCCTAATACATGTAAATCTCTTCATCAAAACCACCACAAAACACATATAGAATCAAATTCCCAATCCATATTTATTACAATGTCCCACATTGCTTGGGATTAAGATCTTTGGACAATATATATAGGATGTGACAATCCTTAACTCTTGAGCTATATCAATTATCAGAATCACTTCTATTATTTAATATTAAAAAAACCGATTATTATAATTGTTACATGATGAGAGGTCTTCTAATTTCTACATAAAGGCCTGGTTACATTATCAACCCTTAGGGGACATCCGATAAAATTGGAACGATACAGAGAAGATTAGCATGGCCCCTGCGCAAGGATGACACGCAGTTCACATTTTTCCTCCTCTCCCCCTTCTCTCCTCGAGTTCTTCTTCTTCTTCATTCTTCTTCGTCTGGGCAAAGCTTCGGCCAGCGCGTGACGGCTCCCACAGCGTCAGCGTTGGTCTCGTTTTCTAGTTGGCTCTTTAGATTTCTTTATCGTTTTGTTTTTGTTGTTTTTGGAGCATGGGGTTGAGCGACGAGTTGTAGATCTACTTTTGGTCTTCTCAGCGAGGTCTCGTTTTCCGTCGATCTTGGCTACATCAGCGAGGTCGGATGGCTTTTGTCTCCGGCGAACTCAGCTTTCATAGTGAGTTTTGTTCGGCTAAGTTTCCGGCGTGCTCGGCTTTTCTAGCGAGCTTGTTCGGCGTTTTCTCCGGCATCGCTCGGCTTATTCAGCGAGGTTGGCCGGCTTGTTCAGCGAGTTTCCTGGGTTTGGGTTTGTGTAGAAGGCAAAGTGCTTCGTTGTGTAGAAGGCAAAGTGCTTTTGTTGGCCTTTGGTTTTCAGAAGAGTTGTCAAGCTTTGGGTTCTTGTGGACTGAGGATCTTACAGAAGTTTAGGGTAAATTAGATTGCACTCATGGCTCTGCCGGGTCGCGCATTAAGTGTAAATGTTCCTGGGACGGGGTTAAGTGAGAGATTTGGTTTTACCTTTAATTATATTTTCTATTGGAATTTCTGTTAAGGTTCTTCTTTCGATTAGTTCCTTTGTAGTCTTGGTTCACTCGAGTTTGTTGTACTTGTTTTAAAAGCTTTGGCTCCGAGGAATATGTGTTTTCCATCGGTTTGACCGTCTTTGTATGTCTTCATCTTTGGTTATTATAAATAAAATCTCCAGACGACAAAAAATAAAAAACATTATCAAATGGGAGTAGTATCATTTAAAAAATATAGGAAAAATCTGATATTCTAAAAGAGTTTGTATCCTACTTTTGCAATAACGATAAAATAAATTCCAAACAGTTTTAGACCAAAAACCCTTTTGGTCATCGTCACCAGAGATTTTAGATCTAAAACCCTATCAGAGACCATTTTCGCGTGAACAAAGATGGCGGGGCCTTTGCTTCGATCTCTTTGGTCAAACACCACTCGAAGATCATTCTCTTCTCAATCATCACCTTCCAAATTCGGATACTCGCTCTCGTCCTTACGCTCTTTCTCAGCAGCCACCGCTTCCTCTGCTGCAGCCGGAGCTCCTAGTAGCTCTCTTGATCCTAATCGACTCAGAAACGTGGCTGTTATAGCTCATGTTGATCATGGGAAGACAACGCTTATGGACCGGCTTCTTCGTCAGTGTGGTGCTGATATCCCTCACGAGCGTGCTATGGATTCTATTAATCTTGAGCGTGAACGAGGGATCACTATTTCTTCAAAGGTATCGCATTTCGTATGTTTGGATTGGAGTTAGAGTTAATTGTTACTTCACAATTTGAAAATGGTTCTGTATTGAGTGATGACATGAAGTATTAGGTTCTTGAGTGATGAATCAAAAGCTTTCTTTTTTCTGTGTTCTTAGATCAAAGCTTAAGACTTTCTGTCTTTTTTATTGTTCTGTTCTGTCTGTGAAGATTTTGAGTCATTTTGTTCTGTTCTGTCTGTAAATTTGATGTGTTCTTTTGCCGATACTTGTTTATTATAACCACGTAGCACAACATTTTGAAGTTTATGTCAAATTTTCTGACAGGTGACATCCATATTTTGGAAGGAAAACGAACTTAACATGGTAGACACACCTGGTCACGCAGATTTTGGTGGTGAGGTATGAGACTGATCCCTGATAAAATAGTTGTACTTATAGCGTATTATTGATTCTCATGCTCGATTTTAGTAGAATTGCATATTAGTGTACATAAGATAAATTAATTAGAAGTTTACAGAACCTACTCATGGTCTGGTGACATTAGGATACTCCTTAGTAGAACATAGGTGATATCTTTGTGACTATTTTTGCATTCGAATTTAGGTTGAACGAGTTGTTGGTATGGTTGAAGGAGCTATATTAGTTGTTGATGCTGGCGAAGGCCCTCTTGCACAGACTAAGTTTGTTCTCGCCAAGGCCTTGAAGTACGGGCTACGACCTATTCTTCTCTTAAACAAGGTAGATCGACCTTCAGGTATGCATTTCATTCACTAGTCAAACTTGTTTATCTCATTTATTTCGTTTACTTTGTCATTTTTTATTTTTTTTTTAATTTAAAATGCTTCCTCTTTATCTTTTTCCGATGACAGTCACAGAAGAGAGGTGTGATGAAGTGGAGAGTTTGGTGTTTGATCTTTTTGCAAATCTTGGTGCTACAGGTGATCAAAGTCTAACATATGTGTTGTAATTAATTTACAAATCATTATTAAATTAACATTTCTTCTTTCTCCATTATTTAGAGGAACAACTAGATTTTCCGGTGCTTTATGCCTCTGCAAAAGAAGGGTGGGCATCTTCTACCTATACCAAAGACCCTCCTGCAGATGCAAAGAATATGGCAGATTTACTTGATGCCGTAGTAAGACATGTTCAGCCACCAAAAGCAAACCTTGATGAGCCATTTCTGATGCTGGTAATATAAAACTCCGGCTAATGGAATTCTTTTACTTGCTTGGCCAATTTTATGCATGCAACTTCTTTCACTTTTCTGATTGTCCAATATCAAGTAGCTGATCTTTGAATTGTGCTCTTTAACATTGGCCGAGATTGACTGACACAGTTCCCATTGATTTATGTTTGGCATTCCACACTAGACTTCAGATAAATATTTGGTTGAACTTTGAATGTTTGTTAAATAAGTAGACTTGTTGTGTGAGTTTAGAAGCATCTTACATAGTTATATTCAGTTATATCCGCCAGTAAATTTCAAAAAAAGTACAAGTGATTTTGTCAAACTAATTTCAAAAAAGTGCAAGTGATTTTGTCAAACTAATTTCCTTGGGAAAGGAAGACATTGTTTGGACACTTCATGAGATAATATTCAGTTTATGACCTTCGGCTTTCCTAGTTTGAATGTATTCGTGTTATGTAGTTAATGTGCCAAGATTTGAACAGATTCATTTATACGTAACAATTATTTTTGAGGGTACAAAATGTCTGAACTGCTTAAACCCTGGCAATGATATTTATATGGCGTTCTCGCTTCTGATTTACAGGTTTCAATGATGGAGAAGGACTTCTATCTCGGACGAATATTAACTGGAAGAGTAACTTCTGGAGTTGTCCGTGTTGGTGACAGAGTCAATGGACTACGCAAAACTGATTCCGGCTCTGAGAAAATAGAAGAAGCAAAGGTTCGTGTGCATATTGCTTTGTACTTGCTCAGCCTTGTTTACGAAGTGTGATATTCTCATCTAAGCAGATACAATCATCTTTCTCATAGGTTGTGAAGCTAATGAAAAAGAAAGGTACAACCATAGTTTCAATTGACGCTGCAGGGGCTGGTGATATTATCTGTATGGCTGGTTTGACAGCTCCGTCAATAGGTCACACGGTGGCTAGTGCAGAGGTAATATCCGAGTGGACTACTTCCTTATTTTGTATTTAAAAAGTATATGAGTGAATTCTTCTTTTAACATAACTTCTCAAGTTCCATTGATCCCTATTTGAATATTAAGAAGCTTGAATCAGTTACTTCATTTCTTATTGTCTTTCAGGTCACAACTGCACTCCCTACTGTTGAGCTGGACCCACCAACAATTTCTATGACGTTTGGTGTCAATGACTCTCCTCTGGCTGGTCGGGATGGCACCCACGTATGTTTAATTCTAGTGACAAGATATAGCTCTAGTCATTGTACTCTGCGCTAAACTTTTACAACCTCAGATTTACCTTTGGGTCACTGCATTTCTTTTTCATCTTCATTCACCTATATGTTGCTGGCATTAGGGTAAATTTGTCCCCCTTAGCGATATTTGAAGAAATACTTTGTGTTAGGTGGTAGACCACTCGTTCTGGCACATGTTGACAGGCTTTTGCTAATCTGCATGCAGTTAACTGGAGGGAGAATTGGGGACCGCTTAATGGCAGAAGCTGAAACAAATCTTGCCATAAACGTTATTCCAGGCCTGTCAGAGTCCTATGAAGTCCAAGGGAGAGGAGAACTTCAACTTGGTTTGTGCCTTTCCAGTTTGTGTTCAGTGTTTCTTCACCTGTAAAGACTGATATAAAATATGACACACGCCAGAAAACACGTAACTGTATTTATTTCTCTATGCCAGGTAAATTAATTTCTGTTGTGTCTAACAGGTATCTTGATTGAGAATATGAGGAGGGAAGGTTTTGAGCTCTCAGTCTCACCACCTAAAGTCATGTTAGTCGCATCTCTTTGTTTGTTTTACTGAATTTACACTACGCACTATATTCGTCGTATAATCGGAGTTAGTTGTAGAGGTTATTACTTATTAGATGTTGGTAGTTGTAGAGGTTCTTTTGTGGGCTTTTGAAGAAAAGGGTCTTGCCAGTTTGTGTCATAAAGCAATAGAAGAATTCTTTTCTTTTTTACCAAGTTACCTGATTTCTCTGCTTTACTACTACACTAAACATTAGTTGGTAATTGTTTGATCTACTGTGGATTACTTTTTTAGCCTAGAAAAGCTCCTTTTTTTTTTTTTTTTTTTGACAGCTACCTAGAAAAGCTCCTTTATAGTGTCTTTATTTCTAAAAACTTTGTTGTCTTTCTTCTTCTGACTTCTGAGCGTTTTCCCTTTATGATGCAGGTATAAAACTGACAAGGGACAAAGGCTTGAACCAATTGAAGAGGTGACTATTGAGATTAATGAAGAACACGTAGGATTAGTGATGGAAGCTCTCTCCCACAGGCGGGCGGAAGTTATTGACATGGGCCCTGTCCCTGGAAATGATGGTAGGACGAGACTGTCACTAACTTGTCCTTCAAGGTTAGCTTACTTATTTTAATTACTTTCATAAAATTTTGCTCGCTGCTCATTCAATCATTCCCCTTGAAGAAATATAACCTACGTATACTTGTGTTCTACAGAGGTTTGGTTGGGTACAGATGTGTGTTTAGCAGCGACACCCGTGGAACTGGATTCATGCATCGTGCTTTCCTAAGTATGAAACTTTTCTACTTGCATTTTCTGCAACTCCAGTCCCCTATTTGCCCATTTCTTTTCTCATCAATTCAGTTGACTTCTCTCCTAGAGAAATGATCTACGTAACCAATATTTCTTGCATATATCTGCTAAACACGGTTTCAGATATCATTAATTTTCGTGTCAAGAGGATTCATCATAGATGCAAACATATAGCTACCTTTTCCATGAAAATATCTGTCTTATAGTTAGAAGCATCGTAGATATTTTAAGTTTTATTACTTCAATTGATAGCTGTTTGTGTATCGCGTTCTTGCAGATTATGAAAAGTACCGAGGTCCGCTTGGAAATGTTAGGAAAGGAGTATTGGTATGTCTTTGGCATGTTGCGCTTTTTCCAATAAGAGATCCCTTTCGCTTGATTTTTTCCTTCATAAAAAATTGTATGTACTCTATGTTTTAATTGTATTTATTTATCTTGATGAAACAGGTTTCCATGGGATTTGGTACTATTACAGCTCATTCTCTGATGAGTTTGGAAGCTCGTGGAATTCTCTTTGTGTCTCCGGGGCTGGATGTGAGAACCATCTAAATATGATAAATATTTCTGTTTCTTTCTCAGTTTAGCTGTTCTTGATTGGAACATGTTATGTGGTCTTTCTGCGTTTGATCCATACTAATGCTGCATCTTCTTTTGTTTTCTGTCTTTAACAGTCATATGATGGTATGATTATCGGTGAGCATTCACGAGATACAGATCTTGATGTAAGTTGCTTCGACTTTCTCCTCTTCATACTGAAAAATCACAACTAATTCTCTAAATGCCATGAGCTCACCTGCCCTTGCACTACAGGTTAACCCAGTTAGGGCCAAAGAACTTACAAACATTCGCTCTGCTGGGAAAGACGAAAATGTGAAGCTATCTCCACCTCGCCTTGTATGTACCCTTTCTCTTTTCACAACATATAAATTGACGAGAAAACTGTTTTCTTGATCACTACGCTTTGTGGTTTAACTTTTGAATTCTTTTTCGATTCAGATGACACTAGAGGAAGCTATAGGATACGTTGCCTCAGATGAACTTATTGAGGTACATTGTCCATAACCGATTCTAAATCTAGCTAATCATATGATCCATGAGGAACATTTTGTTTCCGGCTTCCTGTGCATTTACTGTAATTGGGTTTAATGTGGTCAGGTTACACCAAAGACGATTCGGTTGAGGAAAAGATGTCTAGACGTTAACAAGCGTAAATCCCTGAGCAAACGAGCCAAAGAGTAAAGTTATCTTCCACACTTGGCTCTCCGATTTAATTTTTACTGAAGCTGGTTTAGTTCTTGTCACAATTCTAGAAAAAGAAAATTATTGAATATGTACGAACGAGAAACAGATTATATAGATCCATAACTTATAGTCTTATACGCAAGAAGATTCATTCTTGTATTGATAACAATAAGAAGATAGATCGATCCCGATATTGTATTATCATTGTGGACCACCGGATTTATCGTTAGAAAGCAAGTTTTTTGGGTTATTTTATTGGAATTTCTAACTTTTTTATATGTTTAATAGAAAAATCTTATACTAAAACATAATGAAGATGTAGAAGAAGATTATGGAAATTCATGTTTACTTTAACTATAGAGAGAAAAGCAATCTGTGAAGGAAAAAACAAAATTAAACACTAGTAAACATCTATAAGGCAATAAAAAAGAAAACCAACTTATAAATCTCAAAGTAAACCCTAAAAAACACCTCAAAGAAAAACTAAGGCTTGTAGAAGAACGGACGAGAGCATGCTTAAGCCACTCCACACGCAAAGACTTGAGCCCGCATTGTAAGGAAGTGTTGCGATTGTTGCATCATCTACAGGAAGAACCTCAAGAGGATCCTCTAAAGGCTTAGGACTAGGATTAGAAGAAGATGCGTTGTTTGGTTGAATAATGGGAGTAGTATTCTCTAGAGACGCAGGCATGACTAGGACGTCGAGTTTTTGACCAGATTCGCAGTGACCAGGCAGACCACATATGAAATAGTAGTGACCGGTTCGGTTAAGGATAACTGGTTCATACTGAGAGTGGTATGTGGTCAGAGGGGAATTAGGGTTGCACGATTCGAAATCTTGGAAACTCACTTCCATCACATTGTGGAAAGTCTTGTTGTATTGAAAGATGAGTACATCTCCAACGTAGAAAGTCTTTGAAGAAGACCATGTCTTGTAATAATCAAGACCCACCGTTGTTGTCCATCCGTTGGAGTCTCCAACTTCGTATAAAGATGTAGCACGAACGACACTAAATAGTGACAATGCCACAATTAACAAACCCATGATTGTGTTCTTCATGATTGATGCTGATTTTTTCCTTGATCAGAGACGTAGAAACACAATGAAAAAAGAGATGGAACTTATAGAGATTTTCTAATTTCTATTGTGAGGAAACTGTTTAGATTTGTCCGTGTATATATAGAGAGATATGTGACGAGAAATATATTTATTTGTATAGCTAACATTATCAAAAAAAAAAATTAAACATTAACAATTTTTTTTAAAGTACGTATATTTTGGTGTAAAGAATTATTAATGTGATTTTTTTGTTGTTGTGGATATATTATAGATCTTACTATATAAACCTAAACGTTGAAAACTCTGACACATGGTAGAATTACAATTAATCAGTTAGCTTTTAACATGCACAAAATATTCAAATTTTATTATCTTCTTAATTATTATATGTTAAAATATATCTAGTGAGAAAAAAAGAAGAAGATAACTCCTACCTAATCTAATTTGGAATTAGAATCAACATAATTTACGAGAATGAGTCAACAACAAATTGAGTTATGTGGGTTAATTATGATTAATATAAGAGAGAGATATATGATTTTCACTATTTCATTGGTTTATATTCGTAGAAAATAGAAATTAGTAGAGATTTTGAATTGACAAGCTAGAAAAAAAAAGAAAAGAACACTTTTCCGATGTCTCATATGCTATGGACTATGGAGTATGGACACTTTTTCGGTAGCGAAAGTGCAAGAAGTAAAAAAATTTAAGCAAGCAAAAGGAGATCAAAAATAAATAAATTTACCTCACTTAAGTAAACAAAACAACTCAAGGAAAAAAAATCTACAACTTAAAGTCTCTCAAACATAAGAACTAAGAAGTCAAACTAAAAGCAAAACACAAAACGTGTGTAAATTTATCAAACTAAGATGAAAAGAGAAAGTAAAGGAAGGAAGCAGAGTCCGATCCAAACACTAGAGTATGAAGCTACGCTAAGTGGAGCTGGTGATGGTCCCATCTGATACTGTGGAACATTATTAACCGGTGAATCAGTCAACCGAGACGGTGAAGGAGACGTCAAAGAGCTTAGTGATCGGACGGGTCCAGGAACCGGAGCAGCGACATGTCCCAAAGAGGCCGGTAATACATGGATTTGAAGCTTTTGTCCCATATCGCAGTGACTTGGAAATCCGCATATGAAGTGTTGGAGTCCTGGTTTGGTTAGAATGACGGTATCAGATCCGGTCTCGTATCTCGTTAGCGGTTTAGACGGTTCACACAGCTTGAAATCATTGTGAGTGACTTCAGTGACGTCGTGAAAATCTTTGTTGTATTTGAAGACCAAAGAGTCTCCGACATGAAAAGTTCTTGAAGAGGCCCATCTCTCGTAATTGACGCTCATAATCGTCCATCATTAGAGTCACCAACTTGGTGAACGGTTCCTCCAATGGAAACTCCACAAAGTGCTAGAAGAATCAGCAAAGAAATAAAGACAACGTTGCTTTTGATCAAAGACATGATCGACTGTTGTTTGAAAACGAAAGAATTAAGCAGCTAAGAAAGAAAGAATACAACTTTGTAAGAGATTTTATGAAGTTTTGAGTTTGTGTTGGTGAGAAGTTGGGAGAGCACTATGTTGTTTATATAGACCCGAAGTCTCGTTTAAGATAATCCTTTTCTCTTTAGGAATTTGATGATTTTTAATGTTTATCTTAACCAAAAAAATATATATTATAATATGATAATTCCTAGTGATATTTTCGATAAAAGGCTTTATTTAATCATACTTTAGGTTTTTTTTATTTAAAATAGAAAACAGATAGAATCAATATTTTCGTGATTAACAAAAATAAACTAAAAATAATGATATGTAAGGTCCGAAGTCCGAACCAATCTTATAAATCCTAATCCTATCAAAGACTTGGTCAAGGTCCCTAGATTTTCTTGTTACCGTGATCAAAATATATATTATATACATAATTAATCAAATACATATATATAAAGTAAATAAATCTTTTCATGGGACGATTTGAAGAAGAAGATCAGTATAGAAGAAGATGCGTAAGATGTTCTTACCATTCAACTATGATCAAGTGATGTTTCAACGCTTGCAGAAGTTGCGACAAGGAAGGAGATCAGTAGAAGAATATTCGACTGAGTTTTTTTCGCTTTTGAGGCATCTTAATCTGAATGGATCCAGACCAACAAATGGTGTCACTTTTCATTGGCGGCTTGCGGCAACAGAAGATCCGACAAACAACTTCTTCTACCCTCTCACCATTGCTGAAGCACATCAAAAGGCACTCACCTTGGAAGCTAAAGCTAAGGAAACGTTTTGGTGGGAAACATCAAAGCTTATTGTATTGTGTTGGTGTACTTTAAACGTATTTGCGTTGGTTCAATAATTTTCTTTTATTTTAGATAGATTGTCCCCTATATATTAATAGAGAAACATTTTAAAAAAAAAACCTTATCATCATGTGTTATTAACAAGATTGTCAGGCTGATGTGTCGCTCTCACAATGATTTGGCTTCTATTTAGATAATTACCCAAGATTTATTAGACTATTTACAGAATTTGCCATTAGTCTCATACATCCATATATCCCATTAATAATTAAAAACATATACTTTTTGTTTATCTTATATTACTATATTTTTATATTTATAATTTTCTTTATATACATTTATATAAATTTTCTTTAGCGGATGGGTAAACAATTTTTTTATTTATATTTATATTTATATTTATGTTTATATTTAAATGATAAAATATATACATTTGGTTCAAGAATCTCGAATTCAAAACTACAAAATCTTTACATCTTTCATAAATTTTTTACTTAAATAAATAAGATAATCTCCTTTCTATATATGTTACGAATACTTAAAATCCTATTTTTTGGAGGAGTTCTAACTTTTCGAAGAAAAACATTATAACTACATTTGTATATAAACCAAAATCTGGCTACATTATAACCATTTCGTAAATAATTCATTCATAATCTAAGAATCTTAGATTAGGAACACTACAACATCAAAGCTTATTGTATTGTGTTGGTGTACTTTAAACGTATTTGCGTTGGTTCAATAATTTTCTTTTATTTTAGATAGATTGTTTACTTTATTTGTAACCAAAGTCTATCCGTCGGTTTTTGTTTCCTTTTAGGTCGATTTTAATCCCTATTTTCTAGGTTTTGCTTCTTTAATTATTCAGCGAATTTAAAATTTATGAAAAGAGTTTTCTCAAAACCTTACAAGAAAACCCATCTTTCGAATTTTGGTGTTGGTCCTCTTCTTCCACTTCTAGTTCTCGTAACATTGTATGTGTTTCATAACGGATGGCTGAGTTCAGAACAAGAGTTCTCTAACCAATGCAATCGAATCTCCAAAGTCACCCGCGAGGTCGCAAACTCAGGTCTAGGCGAGACCATTTCTCTTGGGGATGACAGTGACATGTTGCTTAACATCGATTTACATAAAGAGAAAAAGGGGTTCATTGCTTATTTTTGTCCGATCACAGAGAAAGCTTGTTCCGAACAGACAATAGCAAGAACTCACTACTTTTACTGGGACCTTCCACTACCTAACGAGATTGGGAATTCTAAACTTGTTTTGAAGATGCACTGCATGTGTCTCTGTAGTCATTGTTATTTTCTTGGTTATTATGTTTAATCATAGCATTTTCGATGCCTTTTCTTGAATTCTTACGTTCATTGGTCTAACTTTCTAGTTGTTTCTACATATAGAGCAATCCTATCATTTACTCTATTTTAGAGAGTAAAATATAGAGTGGGTTAGGAGAAAATGTTACTCTAAAATAGAGTTTAGAGAAAAGAATAGAGTGGAGTTGGAGATGCTCTAATGAAACAATCTAATGAAACAAACCACATGGTGGTGGGCGAGTGGTTCTCGTTTGGCTGGAAGGATCGCCCTGTTGGTCTAGGCCAGGGATCGATCCTCCCCAGACGCAGTTTCACTCTCTCACTCCTGTGGCCACCTGGGAATTTACCTGCGGACTTGCTCAGGCGCCCCAGACCACCAGTTTATCAGGGGGCCCTTAAGTGGAGGCTTAAAAATCCCTGTGACGCGGGCTTAGGTCCAGTGGGCTAGTCAGATCACTGTGTGGTCTGGATACTGGGTTATCAAAAAAAAATGAAACAATATCAGTCTCTCACAAAAAAAAAGAAAAATCACTCCAATCATCACTAGATTGAGTAGGGAAGATAAGCTGAGATGATGTTGAAACCCTTGACATAGATGCTAACTCTTTCATCATCTTGTTCTTCTTTCTACCTCTATGACGACGGTGCGTTAATTCAATGGAGATGTAAGCTGTTATTAGACACGTAGAGTTGGCCAATATGTACTTTACAACTTCTTTCTCTGCCTTTCGTCCTCCATATCCTTGCCACTCAAAGATCTTGAGATGGATTGACAAACATTCTGGAACAGAAATCGGTGGGTTGAATGGAAGTGGGAAGCCCGAGTTTGTCTGTGAAGCAACATCAAAGATATATGTACTAAGTACTAAGTATATGTAACTACATAACGTTTAACTAGTTCAATTTAGATATTTATTAATTAGTCCATCAAAACTGCATGAGTGGGGGTTACGAACCTTGTCGACGATGAAAAGATCTTCTATTTTAGGAGATTTTTGAAGAAACAACATAAATGGTTGCAACCAATCTACTTTATTTGGTGGACATATTCTACACCCTTTAAGCAGGGAGAAGTTAATGGGGTGATAACACGTAACCTGCAATGAAATATATATATATATATATATATATATATATATAACAACAGAAATAATTAGACGTTGGAAATTTGATCATAACAATAAATGTTTTTTTTTTTTTGTGATAAAATTAAATCATGATAGCAATAATTTTACTAGTACCGTACCGTTTCAACCTTCAAAAGTAACTTTAACTTGAAATACATATCTTGTGATAGCACCGTAAAAAGAGATCGCCATCGTTTCGACAAAATTATGGTAGATGCTGCATTTTTTGTAGGGAGAAGCAACAATATCTCTATGAGCAAATCGTCAGGTAATTTGCTAATACTGTCTTCAAATCCCTGACTTATACTTTTGATGAATTGTTGGGTACTTATGTGTATTGGTAACATCTTTGTCTCTCGATGAAGAAACCTACACCAATGTTTTAGCCTTTTAGGGTTCAAACTTATATATCTTTAACAAAGAGAACATACAACAATTGGGATTTATATACAAATTAAAGAGATTCTCTTCTTTTATTTTATTTTTAATATATTTTAAGTTAAGATTCTATTTTTTTCCGAATTCTCCTTTTTTTTTTGTGACATTTTTCCATATTTGTTATGAAAAAATATCACAAGTCCAAAATTACCACAAGCTGAGATTTTTTTTTTTTTTTTTTTTCTTGTTTAAAACCAAACACACATAAACTTTGAAAACTTTGTCTTCGTCATCATCATCATCATCATAACATCCACAAGAAACTCATCCATGGCGATTCTTAGTTACATCTCAGCAACATCAACTACACCACCGATTCCTCAAGATCAATCACCCAATTCTCGTCTACCAACCAAAATCATTCTACCCAATAAGAAACCGGAGAAATGGTCCACCGGCGTTGCTCCCGGAGAGTACGGTGGTCCTCCGACCACCACCAAGCTTCGAAAGTACTGGGGAGGAGAAAAAGAAGATCCCATTACTTCCACAGACTTAATCTGGAACAGAGATTTTATGGATCAAATGAAGAAATTGTTCGATTCTCCTGATGATTCTTCTCTCGACCCATCTCCCTCAAAGGTTCAATCTTTTTTCCCTCAAATTAGCCCAATTTTTAGGGTTTCACTAAATCTCATTAGGGTTTTGTGATATGTTAACAGGAAGAGTCTTCTGGGTTTCTGAGCTTTAGTAGAGTTATGAGTCTTGACAGGTTCTCTCTCCTTTAAACTGATAAAAATCAGATTTTTATTTTCTTGCATTTTGATTCAATGGTTGCTTTGTTTGTTGTTATCTGTGGAAAATAGTATGGATGTTGATTTAAGCAAAGAGCTTGCAGTGTCTTCTAAACCCGTTGTGAAAGATCTTCTTGACACCTCCAAGTTAGAAGCTAAAAAGCAAATGGTGAGATTGATTGTTATTATCATTTTGCCAATTTGACAAAGCCACATTGCTAATTGTTTATGTCTCTGAAGTTTACTTTTGTTTGCAATGTCATTAGAGTAAGGCTATTGTGTCTCCTAAATGGAAGCTGGCACCAACACGTCGTGAGCAAGAGAAATGGGATAGAGCAACTAAGGCTGCAACTGGTGGCAGTGTAAGTCTGTTTATCTTTGCAAATGATGGATCACTTGTGCTTTGATTGATTAGTTCTACACCAATTGAAATGTCATGTTTCATTGGAAACATTGATCAGAATTGGCAAAATTAAACATTTTCTAATGTGTGCTGCAGGATGTGATGTTTAGGGAGCTGAGGCGGCCACGTGGTGACCCAGAAGTACAGGCTGCTAAAGACAGGGAACAATATTTCAAGGTACCTCCTTTCATTAGCTAATCCTTGCACGGTATGACAAATATCATGTATGGCTATTCGTTTTACGGTTTGGGATTTCATGAAGATATCTAGTATAAGCACTACTCTTTACCTTCATGGGCTACTCCGTTGCTTTTGAGGCATTCAGTTCTTACTCTCTTGACTTTTGGATTGTTTTCTGCAGCTGAAAAATAAGATACAGGTTCTCACACTCGGTATTGGCGGTGTTGGTTTAGTCTCAGCTTATATCTCATACACCCCAGAGATAGCACTTAGGTTTGTCTTCTCATGCAATGAACATCAAAGTCTCTTTAAGGACTTTTAAATCAATCTTAATTTGTGTTGAATATTTTGTTACAGTTTTGGTGCTGGCTTGATGGGTTCACTTGCATATATGAGGATGCTTGGTAACTCTGTAGATGCCATGGCAGATGGAGCCAGAGGAGTTGTCAAGTACTAAATGCTTCTCTTCAAATTCCTATCAGTTATCTATATTGAAATCACTCACTCACTCACTTATCTCTTTTTTTCTTTGGTTTCACTGAAATGATTTGATAGAGGTGCAGCTAACCAGCCACGGTTACTAGTCCCCGTTGTGTTGGTTATGATATTCAATAGATGGAACGCGTAAGTATCTCTTTCTTGTGCATCACATATCTTTCATCAAAATCAACTTGGTTACATCAATCATATGTACTTGCGACTTCTTCATATATTGCAGAATACTTGTTCCTGACTATGGATTCATGCATTTGGAGTTGATACCAATGTTGGTTGGGTTCTTTACTTACAAAATTGCTACGTTCTTTCAAGCTATAGAAGAAGCCATTTCCATTACTACCCAAAAACCCGAATCATCATCTCCTGACATAGAGGCCAGTGATTAATAAGGTCAATGTAACTATTGTAAGAAATGTAATTTATACACAAAAGCGTTAATGTAATAAAAACTTAATAAGTAATAACTCAGAAATTCATTCATAGCAGCAAATCACCAAGAGATGCACAACTAAGAACATATAAAGCAAATGCATAAAGAGTAAGACATAGAAAGTTAACTGAAATTATGATATTTTCAGACCAAACCGGGTCCAGTGTTGGTTTGAGTGTACTCTTCGTTAAGTCTGCCTTCGTAAACGTAACCGAGCTTCTCACAACACTTCTTAATCTCTTTGACATCTTTCTCCGAGCACGTATCATCAGAAACAATAACAGTAGTCTCGTTTTCTCCGGCTTTGTATTTGGTAATTGCTTGATGATTTGGAACAACAATCTTCACGACCTTGTCGTCTCCAAAAGTAGTGCAAGAAATTACTCTAGCTTCCATTATTTATTATTGTCTTTGGGTTTATTACTCTGCTTTTGCTTAGGAACAAGAAAGAGTATAAGGGTGATGGATGATTTATATAGAGAACAATCATGTGAATGTTAATTAATGGTCAAATCACGATACATGTATGCATGTAAAAACTGTAAATGGACCACCAGATTTGGTTATTGTTTGAACAATAAAGTTGAATCCAAGAAATTGCTTCATTTTGCATGACTCATGTTTTCCACTTCACTATCTAAGAAAGTTAATGCCACAACAGTATAATGTTAAGGCACAATTTCCTATAGTTGATATGTTAAACCTTAGGCAACCAGAAAAAAAAAAGTGTTAGCATTTTGTGGTAGACTGGGACACAGGGTCAGGGAGAAGAAAATACTAATATATACGTTTTGTATCAATAATCATTTATTTGTTCTTATGAGTAGACATATTTGTTCCCTACATAATTTAATTTTTCTACAAACTTGTCTAGTTAACTGTTTCATCAACTGCCATCATCATTAGAAGGGGTTATTAGGTAGATAATATTAAATTTTAAGCTATAAATATGTATATACTTATTAACTGAATAATATTAAATTTTAGTATGATTTACCTAGAATGACTCTAAACTTAGCTAATATAACTTAAATGACACCCGTTTCATTTAGTTTACTAGACTAACCCACATTTTAAGTAAAAAGACTAATTAACCTTTATAGTTAATATTAATAACAATCATGCCATTTGCCATTTAAAAAAGAAAAAAAAAATTAACAAAATAAACAAATATGTAAATAAAGAATAAAATGTGGGAATTAAGGTTAAGTCGAAAAAAGGAAATCAAATCGAGAAAAGTTTGAGACTCTCTTCTCCGACGGTTCCATTAAAAACCCTAGAATCATCTCTAATCCTCAGCCGCCTCCGTTGGTTATTGTAGTTGCATGCCGAAATCGTGTTGATTTCGAGGATCCCTGGGTCATTGGCTTGAAGTTTTTGTCGAACAAGGTTCTTATTTTTCCGGTGGTTGTTTGAATTACCGGCGTTTACGAGATCTCCAGAGACTGAATCGGTGCTTCCCTTGGTTCATCAGCATCGTTATAGATAAATTTCTAACATTTAAACCCCAATGAAACCCAAATCGTCGATTTTGCTTATTGACTATTTATCTTCTCCGATGCTTTTTTGTTTCCGTCGTTTAGGTGATCTCCGGCTACAAATCGCTGGATCTTCCAGTAACAGATTCTTTTCATACAGCTGAATCTTCCATAGCTTTGATCAATTTTATAGTTTTACTGATGTGTGGACATTTGGTGGGGAGTGTACACAGAAAATCATGGTACAACTTTGGCTTCATTAGTCCTTTTAGCCTTCAACGATCTTCACTGGCGTCCTGCAGAATAAAACCGAAAAGAAAGCTTTCAGGGCACGTTCTTTTGATCAAGTTTACCGGGTTTTAGTTGATTGATTTCACATACCCGAAAGGACTCTGCTTGATTGATAGCAACTCAATGTCAAGCTGCAAAAGAAAGGTAACATAAATGCACACCACTTTAGGAGCCAACAAAATTCGAATCAGTTCAACTTGGTTACCTCTATCGTTGCATTTAGAGGAATCTCTTGCACTCCTTTCTTCCCGTAAGCCAGCTCGGGAGGAATAATCACCAATCTCTGTATATAAACCTCAGAGGGTCATCAAAACAAGACTTTGAGTGGCCTGACTTTGTGAAGCCTTTCGGTTTCAAGAACTAACCTGACAGCCTTTCGGTTTGTGAAGCCTTTCAGTTTCAAGATCTAGTCCTTTCAGAACATTGCCTCTCTCTGATTGTCCAACGTCAAACCCGTAAGGCTGCAAAAACTCTTTATTATCAGTGAAGGATCCTTGCAAATTCAAGTACAGTAATGGATTCTGTGAGATTTCCTTATACTGACCGTTCCACCTCCAACGCCAAGTCCTTGTCGGCTTGTGAAAACTGTTAGCATTTTCATTTTCAAAGTTAACCAGAAAATGTATTCACAGCCTCTACTCCATTGCCAACTTTTTATATCATAGTACCTGGAACAAAATAAATAGATACCAAACTATTGAATTTTGCGATAAAGGCTCTTATCTTTCTATCCAATTTGCCGGGCAGAGTACTCTATCAAATTCAAATTAGTTGAATTAGATTCCAGATTCTACGCGGGAAAGCGAGTTCTGAATCATTTCAAATGTCTCATAAATGCTGTTTTCTACCTAAATAATGCATCATGCATGCTCTTGGGGTTATGTAGTGAAGGGGAAAAGTACGGACTTGAGACCACTAGGGAGAGTCGTTAATTCGCTTTCCGGTAACTTGGATGCTCGTAGCTCCAGAGAATTGTATGTAAAAGATTGAATTTTGAGTCAAGAACACAATTCATGCATATAGATATCTATGCTTACAACAACTCTTTTAAGAATTTTGATACACTGATTGAAAGCTAGCTTAAGTGGAGATGCAAAGAACTGATTAGAGAATAATCTAACCGGTAGCGACGAGACATCCAAGTAAAACCCTTCTCCCTTCGAAGCTCACAGGCGCTGGAGAAAGGACAGTCTTTGGTCCGATGACCTTTTCGCAGCCGGGAGAAGGTAACGAGCACAGGTACAGTTTGGATTGCCTTTTTCCTGAAAATTATAACAAAAATCCCAAAACAAAACAATGTTTTGCTTAATCCGTGTCTTGATTCTTGGTTCAAAACATACAAGTAATTGACAGAGAAAGATAACAGATGTGTGTACTTGATGAAAAGGGAATGGAGGAAGACCGAGAGTGATGGAGAGGGTGAACAAGTTTCATTGTTAAGATCATTGTTTCAATGTTTTTGCGTTAGTTTACAGATTCTTGTTGTCTAAAACAAAGAAACTAACTGATTCTTGCCTTCTTTCAGAGTGTGCCCTTAATTGTATGTGAGACCGAGAAGAAGAGAGAAATAGATAAAACTGGAATTCTCATCCACAAGTTCTAGATTTTAAGATTCTCTCAAGTCACCACCATTTTACAACCAAACTTCTTGTCGTTTTAAATCTCATGTAACACGATTTTTTGAAATTTCAAAAACAAATCTTCCAACCAAAAGTCTGTCAACACTAAAAAGGTTATTCTAGTTAGAAACAAATCGGCCATAACATGATATGAAAAAATCTGTTATGCTTAGGGTCCAAAAAACATAACTCTATAAATATGCATATACTCAGTCATGAGTCATGCAAAATGAATCAATTTGCTTGGATTCAACTTTATTGTTCATTGATCCATCTATATCTAGTTAACCATATGAATAAGGGTTTATTACTAATTATTAGGTAGATAAAGTCAGAATTGATAAAATTTTGCATTGGCATTTTAGATGAATATAGTACATTGTTCTTATCAATAACATGTATTATGAGGTTAGAACTTGAGTGGTGTACTGGTGTGACATAACGCCAGTATTAACACAAACAACTAAACAAATTGTCATGGTCGATATAAATATATGGTGCATTTTATTGAATGTGTTTAAGAAAAACGTGAATTAGCATAATATCTTGTCATGAAATTTGATAAAAATACGCGACCCAAGACAGTTGAATAAATCCTTCACCATTTGGCTATTAACTATATACTCTATATGAATAATTCAAGCACACCTTTTTTTCTCCTCATTGCATTTTCATTTCTTTAGACTATATATTTCAACCTAACAAGAATATCTTTCTTTCCTTTTAAGGGACCACAAGAAAAATACAAGGAGAAATTCATTTATTTCACCACAAACTCTTTGGCAGAGGAAAAAATGGCATGTATAAACCCATAAAAAAAAACACGACAAACAACAACAACAAGCAAAATAAAAATGAAAACATTTAGTGAATGCATGGAGTTTTTTTTTTTTTTTGGTTTACTTGATGGATTGGTGAACTTGACCAAAGATGTCAGGACAATCATCCCAACGACCAGAATCTCGAGCTTCCCAATAACCTCCAACGTATCTATAAGTCTCACTTCCTTTCTCTTTTCTAAACCACTTTGGTTTCCAACCTCTCTCTTGCATCTCTCTCGCCTGTCTTTGTCTTTGTTCCAACCTCAACTTCTCCGCATTTCCCATTTCAAACTCTCCCTTCTCCAAATACCTTTGGTCTGGTCTAAGTCTTGAATCTGTTGGTGGCAACTTCTCCTTTAAACCAGGCGTTAGCTCGTTTAATGTGATCCCAAACCGTGTTAGATTATACTTTGTCGGGTTTTCGGGAGGTTTGTTTCGTTTCCACAAAAGATGAGATTCATTCACCTTTCCTTGATTGACCATCACATAGAGCATACTCTCATCCCATTTTCCAAACAACTTAGCCACTGTTTTTCCATTTTTGTCTTCTACTATACCTTGAACTTGATGAGGATTTCTATCGATCATCGACTGTTCCTTGAATTTAAGTTTACATGAGTATTCGCCATTACCTTCAATCCGCATTGTCCCATAGTGATCACAATACAATTTACCAAGTATGAGATTGTATATTGATGTAGTCACCTATATTTTGAACAGAGAAGGATAAGCAACATATCATCCACAAATGTTTTTTTTTTATATAAAAAGAACTAAAGATTCATACCTTGCTCCATTGTACAATTTCACCATCATCAAATTGCAAAGTCAACAAACCAATAGGATCAAGCTGAATTGATCGACCCCAAAATTTGCTTTTTAAATTACTATCTCCCCAAAATTTCCATCCGGTGCCATCACAATGGCATGCCACAATCATAGGATGATGACTCACCTGAAAACATAATTCACAAGAGAAAGTTATCTTCACCAGACCTAATGAGTAAAGCTTATAATAAGTGTTCATATGAAAATAGAGATACCTTTTCCGAGAAAAATCGAAGGCCTTTATCGGGATAATCAGCCTCATATGTTTCACCTAACATTGGATTAAAAGGTTTGCATATTCTTCCTTCGGTTGATGCATAACCGGATACAGCAAATGCAGCTACATTCAGAATCCTCATGAGGTTATTGCCCTGAAATTTTTCATTTGCTAGGCAAAATCAAGAGGCTATCATAAAAGAATTCTAAATAATATCGGTCATTTGCATATTCGTATTACCTTTTTCCCCCATTCAGATGCTTGATCAAGAAGATATGAATACTCCAAATCTTCAAAGCATTTTTGTAGAGAAGATAAAGGCTCATTGAAGTAAACAGGAAGACAAACTTTTGTGAGATCCTTGCCAATGTTGTCTTTGATCATTGACCAAAGGCTAACACTTTTCTCTTTTTCAACCGGATCAGGTAACTTCTTTCGTCGTTTGACATGAGGATAGTTAGATCCAATAGTCTTGATAGAAGGATCAACATCATCCTCTGACTCAAAACCATCATCTGAAGAGAATGATGATGTACGAAAAGCGGATCCAATACTTTTGAATGAACTTGAAGAAAGAGAGTCACATGTATCAATTTCCTCCTCAGCCTCATCAAATTGTTCATTATCATCATCGGATTCACTAATTGTTTCTTCTGAGATAAAAGGAATCAAGTAAACAACAGCTCAATATAAAAAAGGCAGGTAGATAGAAAAAACGTTTGTAGTAAAGAAAAGGCTTCTTGTGTCTTAAGTTACCTGAGTCTCCCTCAATCTCCTCCTCTCTCTGTCTCTCTGCTGCTCCTCTCTCTTTTTTTTTTCTTTTCTCATTTGCTTATAATTTTCACTAATTCGAAAATTTTAAATGAAGCTAGCAAAAATCATCCCCATAATTTTCGATATACAGTCATCTATTTATCAAAAGCGCACCAAAAACCAACACACACAGATGTACATGCATGGTACTATATATTAACCTATTTTGTTTTTTGCTACTTTTTGGGACATTTTTCTTGTATAGCGGAGAATTTTGAATACCATTGACTTTTTTTATTTCTCTAACTTGCGGAAGTTAATTTTTATTCTTCGCTGTATTTTGTTGTCAATCCTTATATTGTACTCCTAGTAATAATTACATGAACTTTTTATCTATCGCATGAGAGGACTCTTCCTAGTTATACGGTTATGCGAAAATAGCGGCTTTCAAATAACGGTACGGCCGAGGCGTTACTTTAAACGGACTCCGTTTACTTCAGCCCTGTACTTAACATTCGACACGTGTCATGAACATGTAGTAAGATTCACTATCACCTGACTAGCTTCTGCTACCACACCACAACTCAATATTCCCATTACTTACTTTTTTTTTTTTTTTTTTTTTTTTTTTGGTAGAACTTACTTTTTTTCTTTTTGGGCAAAGGAAACTACGGTATTCCCTCCGTTCTTCAATATAAGATTTTTGTTGAAAATATTTGGTTTAAAAAATATGGATTTTCTTACTTTTCTATGTACAATTATTAATGATAAATTATAGAATTCAAAAAAAATAACTAAACATTATTGGGTTAGAGTTGTTGGAAATTATAAATCGCAAAAATAATGTATTTTAATATGTTTGTTTATTATATCTGAAAAACTAGAAAATCCTATAAAAAAGAACAGAGGGAGTAGTACTTAATTACTTAATAAATCCAATTAATGCAATAATGAACAAACCAATATTTCTCCGTGACGTAAAAGTCTCCGTTTATGAAAATTATTAGTAGTAAGACAAACTTTTATTTCTTGTTCAATTCAAAAATTGATTAATATTATTCCATATAACAAATAATTATCATTATCACATGATATAATATTTTATTAATGTAAATGGTCTCCGTCTTCACCAGATTTTCTTTGCAAAACAAACAAATTCGAAACTTTGTGTCGAGAACGTCCATGTTCACGGGTTAGCTACTTAAATAAAATTAGCTATGCTAACCGAATTAAACAGTAACTTACGCTTAATATTGATTCAGTTGGAATTAATGTGAATAATAATTTTGTTGTAGGAGCACTGACTTCCACATGTCATGAGTAGGCCTACAGCTTAAGTCTCAGTCTCCTTTCCATGCGTCTCTCTCACTCAATGTATATGTTCAGTAGTATTAGATGATGTGAGTCTTTGCATATAATTAACCAGAGAGTGAGAGACCTTTGGGCTGAACGAAAAGCTCTCAAAAGAAAATTCCTTCTGTTTCAGAGTATAGACTAAGAGAGAGCTAGATAGAGAAAATACAATTGAAACTTGGGAGTTGGAGTTAAGAGAGGGAAAACGGCTTATTCCTCCCCAAACTAAGTTGTTTTGGCTAATTCATCTCTGAAACTTTGTCTCGTGCTTAAACCCTCATGAACTAACATAGACTTTGAATTTTTTCCCTGAACAAAACAAATCCGGACCAAACCCACAAATCGTTAAACGCCGTTATTGTTCCGTTAACGAACATTCGACTAGAATGCTACATCATCGATCTAAGCGACTATGTTTTGAGGAGAAAACGGCCTATTCCCCCATAAACTAAGTTGTTTTGGCTAATTCATCCCTGTAATTTTATCTCATGCCTAAACCCACATGAACTAACATAAAGTTTGAATTTCCTATATGCACAAAACAAATCTGGCCTAACTGATGGATGAAGAACCTAATTGAATAGATAGTGTACTTGGATTATGATGTAATTTTTGATTAATTATTAGAATATGATGTAAATTTTGGATTAATTCTCGGATTATAATGTCATTTTGGAATAATATGATGTTCGGATTTATTGGAACAATAACGGCGTTTAACGATTTGTGGGTTTAGTCCGGATTTGTTTTGTTCAGGGAGAAAATTCAAACTCTATGTTAGTTCATGTGGGTTTAGGCACGAGACAAAGTTTCAGGGATGAATTAGCCAAAGCAACTTAGTTTGGGGAGGAATAGGCCGTTTTCCCAGTTAAGAGATACCTGAAACTTTCTGTTTCTGTGATGACTACTACTGTGACCATTGTGCTTTGCTCTTCTCTGAATATATAAAACAAGATTTGGATTCTACTAACAATTTATGGTGACACTAACGAAGTTACGAAACATCTCAATTTTTCCTTTTTGTATTTTTTGGGTCAACATCTCAAGATTATTTTGTGATTTTATTTTATTATTTTACAAATTTCGTATCTTCAAATTATTTGTTTGACAAGACATATACTTGTCTGATTGGAAATCATAACAAGAAAAAACGAACTTGTGTGATTGATTCCTCAGTAACAGTTTTTCCGCTCTTCATATAGTATCTACCATATGCAAAGAGATTCTTATAGATCAATATGCTTTTAAAATTCTTATCATATATTCATTTATAATTTATAATCATTTTTTGAAAATTTGCCAGCGAAATTTGTAAAATAATAAAATAAAATCACAAAATAATCTTGTGTGATTGATTCCTCAGTAACAGTTTTTCCGCTCTTCATATAGTATCTACCATATGCAAAGAGATTCTTATAGATCAATATGCTTTTAAAATTCTTATCATATATTCATTTATAATTTATAATCATTTTTTGAAAATTTGCCAGTGATATAAAATATATTTATCATCGTACAAATTACATATATCCCGTGCGTATATAATTAGAATCACAATTCATAACGGCTATTATAGTATTTATTTGAATTGCAGTACCCCGAATTAATATAATATGGTAGGAATTTTTTATGTTGTACAACAATGATTCGATCTTGATAATATGTTATAAAGATGTTTTTGATTCCAGATATGCTGTCGATCAATTTAGAATCCAATGAAATACTCCGTACGTGAATTTAATATAAAACTAAATAATAAGCATTCTTCTTTAATACTAGTAATAAACTTTTCATATATAGTGATGTTGCATTTCTAGGCAACAAGAGTAAAAATAAATTATCGATAGGTAAAAATCAAATAAAAGAGTCAATGGTAAAACAAGTTGGCGATTAGTATTAACTTTTTTTAATCGAGGGGCCAAAGAAAGGTAAAATAATAGTGTCCCGACAAATGAAATTCGACATGATGTAATGAGGATTTACCATTAAATATGGTTGTCACTTTCATAGACTTTCTTCACCAATTTCCAGATCTCCCACTTTACCATTCCATTTATGGGAATTTCATTATTCTATTCCCACTAGTTTTATTATTTACTACTAATACCTAGCTTTTTTTTAACTATTTACCACCTACCTACTGATATTTTTTTTATAACAGTTACAAACAAAAAAGTACTTCCAGTAATCTCCAATATGTTTCATAAACTGAGTAATGGGCCGGTTAACTTTCCTTATATTGGTCTAAGGAGAATATATAAAAGCCCATTTAAACTATTGTATAATCCTATAGAGAGCAAGTGTAAAAGTGGGTATCTTTAGCACCTAATATCGAATGGTGACCACTTTATTTAGCAGCCCATATTAACAATGTGACCTTCCCATGAAAAAGTGGGTATCTTCTACTCTTTTAGATTCCTTGACCAATCTATGATCGTGATCAATTCAACTTTGACCCGCTTCTCTCCACCCAACCCAAGTGAAAATATCTAAAGCTTTTTGCGTGTTGATGAAACAAAGAAGACGAAAAAATGGCGAAATTATTCATCAAGCAAGCGGAGCAATACGCAGCAGCTCGACCCAATTATCCGACCAAACTTTTTGATTTCATCGCATCGAAAACGCCGTGCCACGACCTTGCTTGGGACGTCGGCGCCGGAAGCGGCCAGGCCTCACGATCGGTGACAATCATCTTCAATTTCTAAATTACTTTCAATTTTGATTCCAAATTCTATATCATGTTTGGGTTTGATAGACTTTTGAATCTAAAAATTCTATATACGAGCTCAAAGCAACTTGAATTTGCTGCAAAGCTTCCCAACGTCCGTTACGAGCTCACTCCAGCGACGATGTCGTCATCGGAGGTCGAGAAGCTAGTGGCACCAGAATCATCAGTCGATTTAGTCACCGTCGCACAAGCCCTTCACTGGTTCGAACTCACGACCTTTTACAGCAACGTGAAACACGTGCTCAAGAAACCCAACGGCCGCGTGGTGCTACACCAATCCGGAGGTCAACGCCGCCGTGGACAAGATTTTCCGGCGGTTTTACGATGAGAAACTTGTACCGTATTGGGATAAAGCGAGGCGGCTTTTGGAGGATGGGTACAGAGGAATTGAGTTTCCGTTCGAGAAAGTAGATGATGATGATGACTCAACGGAAAGTCAAAGTTTGCCGGTTAGGTTTGTGACGGAGAGAGAAATGGTGTTTGAAGAGTATACGACTTATCTGAGGTCAACTTCGGCGTATCAGACGACTAAGGAGAAGGGTTTGGAGCTTTTGACGGCGGAGATGGAAGCAGAATTTGCTGATTCGTGGGAGGAGAAAAAAGTTGTTAGGTTTCCGATTCACTTGTTGATCGGAAGAGTTGGCATTTGAATAGATATCTCCAACACCCGAGACAAGAATATCTATGGTTACTACTTCCTACTTACTAGTTTCCAACTTATTTATGATCTTGTGACTTTAAAGGAATTCCTATATATGGAAAATGTTTTCAAATTAAAAATGAGCCATATTGACAAGAGACTTATGGAAAGTAGATGCTATTTTTGTAAATTAAAGAGACAAAAGAGATGATTGTAAACTGATTCTTATTGACTTAATAGAGGGCTACAACCAATAGATCCTAAATGACAGGAACCACTCAAAGACTAATTCACCAGGAATAATAGGCACGTTATTTTCAAGAAGCAAAGTGTTGAGAAAGGGATCACTGGTGGCATTATTATTGATTTGATAATCTCTCATGCAATAATGTAAACAAGATACCTCTAGATCAGATCTGATAGGTCCAATCAAAGCCCAAGACTTGGATACTCGGAGTGGTCCCATCTCGGGAGGCCGAATCAGACATCTTTTTTTTTTTTAATAAGTTGGACTAACGACTCCATATTAGCAGCAACAAATGATTCTACAAGCTCCGTGAGGGCGAGATCGCTATCCTTACGGATATCCTCCTTCCGCTTGTTTTCAACGAACAAAAGCAGCTCCTCCTTATTCATGATTACTTTGCTGCTCGCCATATCGTCGTCCATCGGGATCGGATTCGATGTTAAACCCAGACAACGGTTCTGGAAATGAGATGTAAAAAATCCCTAGGGTTTGTTGACATTTATATAGGATTACCTTTACGAATGGGCCCAAAGGCCCCAAACATATATATAGGTTTTTTTTTTTTTTTCTGGTCAAACCGCAAAAGAAGTTTCTAATTCTTATAAGGGAAGAATTAGAAACAAGAAACAAGAAACAAGAATTAGAGGCAATAATGTAAATGAGATAAGGGTTTCATTCTTGAATCTGATAGGCCCAATCAAAGCCCAAAACTTAGATACTCGGATCTCGGGCGGGGGAATCCTGGTGGGTCGACCAACATTCTTCTGAGCTAATAAAGAGACAAGGTCTATGAGGCCGAGAAAGGAATCCTCCTTACTCTTGATTACATTGCTGCTCTCCGTCTTGTCCATGGAGCTCTCGAGATCGGATTCGGTTTCATTAATACTCTGATCTCGACAATCCCTACGGAAAACCTCCTTCCGCTTCTTTTCAACGAACAAAAGCAGCTCCTCCTTGTTCATCACTACTTTGCTGCTCGCCGTCTTGCACATGGAGATGTTAACGGAAATACCCCACACGACGGTTCCGGAAATTAAATGAAAGAGACAACAGACAAGAATAAAAAAAAAAACCCTTTTACGGACATTTATAGGATTAATTAGTTTTTTTTTTTTTTTTTTTTTTTAACAAATACTTCAGTTCAGATTAATTATCAAACTAAACTCATATCTATATCGGTTTGGAGCTATTCGATTTTTGGACCCTTCTGTTTAAATCCGATTAAATTGTATAAAATAAAACGCATAGCAAAAACAAAATTTAATATGAAAAAATAAATCCAATTCATAAGTCTTCTGCTTAGCTTTCATATCACCTCCAAGATTAAAGAAACACAATAAACAAATCCAATTCATAAGTGTTCTCCTTAGCTTTCATAATCACATTAGAAAGTCTTACTTCAACTAAAAGAGAAAATAAGTTTAGCAATTGTAAGAAAGCAATGCCAAGGATGTTGCCATCGGCGGTTGAGTAGGAAATATCGACAAGGCATGAGCTTGGTGATACTCGGGATCAACTTCGTCGTATCAGACGGCTAAGGAAAAAAGTTTCGAGCTTTCCACGGCGGAGTAGAAAGGAGAGTTTTGCTGGTTCGTGTAAAAAGGATGGGAAAGAGAAGAAAGTTATAAAACTATTAAAAAATAATCTTAAATCCCTACACTATTATTTGAGCAATGCTTAATGACTTTTTTACCTATGATATTTAAGTATTAATGACACTAGGAAAGTCATTTGGTTACACTTATTACAAAGAATATTAGAAAGATTGTTACGGAAATCATTTTATTAACCAACATTAAAAACACGCGGATCTCTGTAGCTGCCCCACCCGTTTTCTTATTTGGATTTAACTTCTGGTGGTCGAGGCCCATTTCGCAACAATTATCGAAGCCTTTCTTAGCCCTAAACTGCAAAACAAAATTGAAATATAAGTTTTGCCGCTCACTTCATAACCCTCTTCTCGAAGACTCAATAAATTTTCAGATACCATATCATACCAACCAGACAATCATAAATGTAGATATTCCTGTTAAGCATTTTTAGAAGCTTCTTATTAAGTATTTACGAATAAAAGAGAAACTACCTTATCTAAACAAACAATTTGCCTCGAATCTATGAAAATCAAACCTAAATGTATCGCAATTTCAAAACTAACTAATAAGAACATTTATCACCACATACCATTTCAGTTGCATAAAATCTTAACTAGAATAATTTCCACACGGATTTTCCTTATCCAAAAGAGCATATTCTCTAATTTATATGAGGCAATATCACAGTGACAAACCATTCAAGCAAAACCATTAAACGTTTCTCTAGCAAAAGCAGCAGATCACTTCATCAATCAACAATGGCTGGGGCTCAAGCAATCACCTACCTTTCAGACGTGAAGGCACACAAAAACAGTTGGCGTGTGCAGACCAAAATCCTTCATACCTGGAAGGGATATACGGGAACATCAGGAGAGAGCTTAGAAATGGTGTTGGCAGACCAACAGGTATGATAAAAATATGAACTTATAGAGATTGTTCCTTAGTATCAAGAAGTCTCTGATGACAGTATCGGGAGAGTTCTCATCCATTGAAAATGTCCTTTGTTAACAACACCTTTGTTAAAATATGAACTTATGCAGGTACTACTTTTGCTAATGTCCTCACGCGGATTATGAAAAAGTAAGTATTTAGTCTTTAAGAACTTAATTGTTTGTTACGTAGGCATCACTATTTTTACATTACAATTATGTAGTCTGATTAATGAGTAATATTTATTCCCACTGTGTGCAGACTCTAATAGAGAGTAACAAGGTACGTAGTCAATTGGCTGCAAAATTGGCTAAATTGAAACAACTGCAGATGAAGTTGAATGGTCGGGAGCAGCAGGCTGTTGGAATTTCCATAGAAAATCTAAAAGAGTCAACAGAGCTCTGGAGAAAGAAAATAACGAGCATAAGGTGTATTTTGTACAATTTTTTTTTTAAGCAAGGAATTTAGCATTTTTAGTTTTCCTCTTGAGTTTAGAACTCTGACACTTACATTTATTTTTTGTTGTGTATAAGTGTATTTGAAACAAAGTGAATTAGAGGCTGCTTTGGAGGCAAGCCAGAGGTCAACAAGTAAGAAACTCTTCCCAGAGGGTACAAAGGCTCTTAGTAGACATCTTAATGCAAACTTTTGATTCATTTAGCCCTTTAGCCAAAAGAAACATTTTTATAATGCAAAAATTAAGTATGGAACAAGTATTAAGGTCCCTTCTGCTTTTCCTCATGTACAATTAGGAAAAGATGATATGGAGATATCTTTGTAGAGGCTAGAAAAGGAGTGGAGGAAGCAAGAAGAGAAAAGGATAAGAAATGAAAGAACTAAAGCGGCTCAAAAACACCAGTTAGAAAAGGTTATTATCCTAAGCTAATTTTCTTAAAAAAAAAAAAAAAAGTTTAGCTTATGTTTATGGAGATAACGAAGTTAATCAACGCCAGCTATGTTTATAAATATCTGAAAATAACTTGCAGTATCCTATAATTATAACCTGTGTAATGAATTATGCTGTCTTTGACAGTGTTTCTTGGTATCTGTGAACAAAATTCTGTAAAAGTTTTCTGCTATATTCATACAGGAAACTGAGGAGTCTAAGAAAATGGATGAAGAAAGTACATTGATTGAAGGAATCCGCCAGAACAATTAATATCAAAGGTCGCAGATACTAATTTTAGAAAAAGCTCTTAGGCAGACAATGGCTAATCAGGAGGAATTCAAGTCAAGCAACGACCAACGACCATGAAATTTGGAAGTCAAAAGGGTATAATACTTCCTGATGTATCAAATCAGTTATAGAAGTTACTGAATTGGAATTCAGTTTATGTAGGAACTAGACGATCCTCTCATTTTTATCCATGAGAAGAAGATCTCAAGCATCAACTCTATAGTGAAAGTTTTGGAGTTGGTTGAAGGAATGTCTGTTTTATTACCATTGTAAATTTAGAATCTTTTTCTCATGAAAAGTATTGTAAAAAGGCGTCTAATATGGTTTTCCCCATTTGTTGTCCAAATAAAAAAAACTTACAGAAACTAACACCACTGTTGATTGTTTCACAAGTACCAATTTGTGAAGCTTCTTATGGCAGCATATGTTGTCTTTGTTATGTTTTCTTTTCACTTTGATTGTGTTTTGAATAATGTTTTGCAATTTGCAATGAAGTTTTCCACTTGTTTTGTTTACCATATGAATTTTTATTTAATCTCAATATAAATCGGTATGAAAAAAAATATGCAATGCACTCAGTTATAACAGCAACTTCAGTCAAGATATTTTATTGTTACCTTTTTCAATATCTCGACCTTCATACATGTCCAAATACGCCAGCATCCAAAACCTTGAAAGCATGGATTTCTGATTGAAATACAATCGGAAATCCTAATCCATGAAGCTCCACGCATAATATTTTACCCAAATTTCATCAAAAACAAATCGATTTAGTTTTAGAAAATTATTCGACTACTTGATTTTCAAAAAAATGAAATCAAATAAAAGAAAGTATCGAAGCCTCTCTGAATGAAATCTGATCCGAAATCATTGATTCTCGCTCCTCAGATCATAGTTTGCCCAAGTTTCATCAAAAACAAATCAATTTAGTTTTAGAACATAATTGTCGAACTTGATTTTACAAAAAAAAGTGATATCAAATTAAAGAAATTACCTATCCATTCAAATTGTTGCCTCTCTGAATGAAATAAGATAGATAATCATAGATTCTCGCTCCTCAGATCAAACACAAATCGAAAAAATTGAGTTTCGCTCTTAATATTAGGTATTCTTTTCAATTATATAAAATCAATTAATCGAATTACCTTACCTTTTAATTCGTATACACTCGGTTGCCATACAAATCTCTATACATGATTTTAGAAACTCAACGATCGCTATTTTTGTTTTCTTTTAGAACTCGAAAAAAAAATTCTCGACAAAGAAGAGAGTTGTTGTCGTTTGTTCCAATTGGAACAATCAGATTATGGGCCTGAGTTACTAAATGGGCTTAGACATTTTTCTGATGTATAAAATGTGGCTATTATACCAACGAAACTGGCCCAAAAATTAAATACATGGCATTAACATAGTTATTTTTGAATGTTGCTTATACTTTTATAAAAATGTTTTACTGTTTTTTTTTAAAAATTACTGTTTATAAGAAAAACAATTTTATTATCTGAAAAAATTATATTATCCATGACAACAAAATTTATTATATTATAATATATTCTATATAAGTATGTCATAACCCAAAACAAAATATATATAATCCCTAAAACAAATACACTATAGTAACATACCATTTAATGTACTATAAACTCATTTAACTACAATCCAATAAAATAAGACGTCTAAACTACAAAATTGTAAAACACAAATTACCCAGCGGTATGCGTGATCATCTAGTTTAATAATATAATAATAAAAAGTTTTGGTGTTTTGGTGTTTCATGGTTGGAGTTGCGTTTTAAATTTTGTTGGGATGCAAAATGATATAAGACAAGACAAGACAATGGTATGTTATTGCATGTGAAGAGATGTGATGTTGACTTCTATGACTTGACCTCTCAATCTCCTCCTCTCTTTGTCTCTCTGCTGCTCCTCTCTTATTTGTTCTTTTCTTTTCTCATTTGCTTATAGTTTTTTTTACGTCTCCATTCACGGCTACAGTCATCTATTTACAACATTGTTAACTCGAAACAAAAGAGAAAGAGAACAAGTTTCCTCTGTTTAGTTTATTCCTCCTTTTTCTCTTCTTCCTCGTATCTCCTCTTCAGTTGTACGGGTATATCCAGATGCCTCTGCTTCGTAGCCAAAAGCTCGCCTCTGTTCCATTTCTTCCTCTCCGATTCTCCTCTCTTCTGCCTCTTTTCTTTGTCGAGAAAAGTCGAGCGAACGTCTCAAATAAGCGGCGCCACCACCTCCTTCAGCACCATCGATACTCTCTACAAACAACTTAAAGCAATGACCCGGCAATTTAGCACTTGGATCGTAAGTGGTGTAAGTAGCTCGAAATTCTTTCTCCATTTCTGGGAGAGTGTAGTAGCTTTGAAAGAGCCTACTTAAATGGTCATAAAGTACTATGGATACTTCAGAACCAGTGCCCCTCTTCCTTTCTTCTATCTTCAGGAGCACCTGCTTAATGAACGACTCAGCTTTAACGGCATCTGAATCTCCAACATTGGAGCTTGATCCCTGTGTATCTGGACTACCTAATTGTTCTTCCGGCAGGTGCTGCGTTGCAGTTTCAGACACCGCCAATTCCTTCATTTTTTCTTGGCTTTCATTCAGGGCATTCAGTCTTTCCACTTTAGCTTCAGCCTATGACCAAAAAAATATTAGACTTGGTAAAAAGTTTGATACTCTGAATTGGACATATATAGCAGAATAGATGAATATATGTAACTAAGGAAAAAATATGATCGCATTACCTCCCGGAGAATGTCCAGACCTAGGCACCCTTTCTCCAAGGCATCATCAGCTGCCTGAGAGAGTAAACTACTGAAATGGCCAAATCTTCCCCTCTCATCCACAGGTGTTTCCATTAGCTCCCACAGCTCATGCATTGTTCTTAGCAAACCTTGTAACTGAAATAAACAAAAAAAAAATAAGATTATCAATTCGTACTAGCCATGGTTTGCTTTCTTGGATTTCCTGAATTTCTTCATTTCAGTGAAAAAATGATACAAGGTTAAATTAGAGGCTACCAAATAAAAACGCGATTTTCCTAATCTTGAATGCAATAATCAGAAATCATATACATATATATTAAATCACCACAAAAATCTTGACTGATATCCCAACCTGCATGTAAGTAACAATGTCTAAATTTTGCCAAACATATGCTAGGCTGCTTTTGCAGGAGCTACAAATTAATTATTAGACTTCTGACAAAGCAGCACTCAAAATTGGCTCGTCAAGTAGGTAAGAAAGTGAATAATGTTGCTCACACGTAATATCTGAACCCAAAGTGTAATTCAGCAAACTAGCTCATTTGTGCACTCTATTCGGATAACAAACTGATCAAATATAATGCAAAATTATAAGTCAAAACAGTTCCGAAGTATTCATTGCTCACCTGAAGCAGCCTCTGATGTTTCTCCTTCTTCCGAGACTCTACAAGTTCTGTTAATCCAGCAAGTGTATCATCAGAAATACTTAATGAACATCCGGTCAAGCTTTCATGGACTTTAAGCAAGGCCTCAGAGAGATCAAATGACATTATCTCTGACAACTCATGGACAACACTGATATACGAGTTTACTTTCTGCAGTCGAACAGCCTGAAATTGAAATAAAGATGATAAGCGCATAACCACAAACATTTTGAGCAAATACCTAATGTGTACATATAAATATAAGAAGACCTTTTCATTGTGAAGATACTGCAAATATGCTTTAAGTCCATCCAATGTTGTTTGTGTCAGATCGCCAGAGCTACAAGGGTAATCATTCCCCGCTATGTTAGAAGAGATCTCTGCTATTTGTGTCAGTATCTCAGAAAGTTCTTTCCCTTTCAGATCTTTTTTCATCCGCAGATCTTCCAGTAGAGGCTTTACAGTGGAAATGCGATCCTTTAAAGAGGCTCCTTTCTTCTCAAAGATAAAAAAATAACATGCATAAGAAAACAAATCATGTCTGCTCTCTATGAAACAAACATGCAGTGATCTACGAGTACCATACCCATGAAAACGAAACTTACTTGTTCACTAAGTGTAGAATTGAGGCTGGCAATTTCTGCTTCAGCTTCAGATAACGATCTCTGTAACTCATCTCTGTACTTGCGAGTTTCATCAACCTTTTCTTTGTATATATCTAGACATTTCTGCTCAAGTTCTTGCGTCATCTTCTCTCTAATATCATCACTTTCACCAATCTCGAGCCATAGTTCCTACATGAGCATAAAATTTGTGGTAACTTCCGAACTAATCAAGGGAAGAAAGAGTCAGTTATCAGAAGCATGAACCCAAAAAAAACAAATTTGATATTCAATTGTTAAGTAACTCGCCGGCAATCACACTCGCCGGCAATCACACTCGCCGGCAATTCAAAGGCATAGTAACTCGAAACAATCCGGGAAAATTGATTAAACTATGGAGAAAAGCGAAATCAGAGAAATTGGAGTTACCTGCAACTCCTGAAGAAGGGAAGAGCGAGCGGTGCTGTGTGGAAGGGAAGAGCGAGTGGTGGTAGAAGAAGCAGGCGTTGGCGGCATTTCTAGTTCCGGCGTTGCCATTACTAGTTCCGGCGTCGTCCGCTCTGTTGGTGGTTCAATGTTACGGTTCTCCAAAGCGGAAAAGAAAATTGATCAAGATATTTGATCTTGATCAAGAACAGAAAATGTAACTGATTCTCTGCGTCTGAGTTTGGCGCGATGATCAGAGAGAGTAACTGATATAGGAAAAGAGAAAAGAGTAATAGACACGTGTAAGGTGGAGATTAGAAGTTTGGCTCAACGGTGGAGATCATTTGGAGCTCAAGACTGTGAAGAAAGATGCGTTAAAAGGAAGCAAAAACAGATTTAGGATCATTATGAGATTTGTGTTGAGTTTGTTATCTTCTTCTTCTTCTTTGTTCTCTGTTTCTCTGAGGATTCTCATGGCTATTTCCTCATTGTAGCTTGAGCTGTTTCTTCTTCTATGCTCTAGCTTGAGCTGTTTCTTCTTCTATGTTTCAATCAGTTACATTTGAACAGAAAATGTAACTGATTCTCTGCGTCTGAGTTTGGCGCGATGATCAGAGAGAGTAACACATCTTTTGAATTCTTCCCTTGTATCCTGATGGGCCTTTCATATTTTATGGACTTTAGGCCCATTTTTTTCTAATCCTCTCGCCTTCGCAATCGCACAAATGACGGCGTTCTTGAGAGCGAGACTACGATGTAGTCTAGGCATTCGGTAAAAATCGAACCGACTGTTACGATGTTCGGTCACCGTCAGATGACTCGGAAAACTCCGCATCGTTCTCATCACGGAAGACACATAAACTTTGAAAACTTTGTCTTCGTCATCATCGTCATCATCGTCATAACATCCACAAGAAACTCATCCATGGCGATTCTCAGTTACATCTCAGCAACATCAACTACACCACCGCTTCCTCAAGATCAATCACCCAATTCTCGTCTACCAACCAAAATCATTCTACCCAATAAGAAACCGGAGAAATGGTCCACCGGCGTTGCTCCCGGAGAGTACGGTGGTCCTCCGACCACCACCAAGCTTCGAAAGTACTGGGGAGGAGAAAAAGAAGATCCCATTACTTCCACAGACTTAATCTGGAACAGAGATTTTATGGATCAAATGAAGAAATTGTTCGATTCTCCTGATGATTCTTCTCTCGACCCATCTCCCTCAAAGGTTCAATCTTTTTTCCCTCAAATTAGCCCAATTTTTAGGGTTTCACTAAATCTCATTAGGGTTTTGTGATATGTTAACAGGAAGAGTCTTCTGGGTTTCTGAGCTTTAGTAGAGTTATGAGTCTTGACAGGTTCTCTCTCCTTTAAACTGATAAAAATCAGATTTTTATTTTCTTGCATTTTGATTCAATGGTTTCTTTGTTTGTTGTTATCTGTGGAAAATAGTATGGATGTTGATTTAAGCAAAGAGCTTGCAGCGTCTTCTAAACCCGTTGTGAAAGATCTTCTTGACACCTCCAAGTTAGAAGCTAAAAAGCAAATGGTGAGATTGATTGTTATTATCATTTTGCCAATTTGACAAAGCCACATTGCTAATTGTTTATGTCTCTGAAGTTTACTTTTGTTTGCAATGTCATTAGAGTAAGGCTATTGTGTCTCCTAAATGGAAGCTGGCACCAACACGTCGTGAACAAGAGAAATGGGATAGAGCAACTAAGGCTGCAACTGGTGGCAGTGTAAGTCTGTTTATCTTTGCAAATGATGGATCACTTGTGCTTTGATTGATTAGTTCTACACCAATTGAAATGTCATGTTTCATTGGAAACATTGATCAGAATTGGCAAAATTAAACATTTTCTAATGTGTGCTGCAGGATGTGATGTTTAGGGAGCTGAGGCGGCCACGTGGTGACCCAGAAGTACAGGCTGCTAAAGACAGGGAACAATATTTCAAGGTACCTCCTTTCATTAGCTAATCCTTGCACGGTATGACAAATATCATGTATGGCTATTCGTTTTACGGTTTGGGATTTCATGAAGATATCTAGTATAAGCACTACTCTTTACCTTCATGGGCTACTCCGTTGCTTTTGAGGCATTCAGTTCTTACTCTCTTGACTTTTGGATTGTTTTCTGCAGCTGAAAAATAAGATACAGGTTCTCACACTCGGTATTGGCGGTGTTGGTTTAGTCTCAGCTTATATCTCATACACCCCAGAGATAGCACTTAGGTTTGTCTTCTCATGCAATGAACATCAAAGTCTCTTTAAGGACTTTTAAATCAATCTTAATTTGTGTTGAATATTTTGTTACAGTTTTGGTGCTGGCTTGATGGGTTCACTTGCATATATGAGGATGCTTGGTAACTCTGTAGATGCCATGGCAGATGGAGCCAGAGGAGTTGTCAAGTACTAAATGCTTCTCTTCAAATTCCTATCAGTTATCTATATTGAAATCACTCACTCACTCACTTATCTCTTTTTTTCTTTGGTTTCACTGAAATGATTTGATAGAGGTGCAGCTAACCAGCCACGGTTACTAGTCCCCGTTGTGTTGGTTATGATATTCAATAGATGGAACGCGTAAGTATCTCTTTCTTGTGCATCACATATCTTTCATCAAAATCAACTTGGTTACATCAATCATATGTACTTGCGACTTCTTCATATATTGCAGAATACTTGTTCCTGACTATGGATTCATGCATTTGGAGTTGATACCAATGTTGGTTGGGTTCTTTACTTACAAAATTGCTACGTTCTTTCAAGCTATAGAAGAAGCCATTTCCATTACTACCCAAAAACCCGAATCATCATCTCCTGACATAGAGGCCAGTGATTAATAAGGTCAATGTAACTATTGTAAGAAATGTAATTTATACACAAAAGCGTTAATGTAATAAAAACTTAATAAGTAATAACTCAGAAATTCATTCATAGCAGCAAATCACCAAGAGATGCACAACTAAGAACATATAAAGCAAATGCATAAAGAGTAAGACATAGAAAGTTAACTGAAATTATGATATTTTCAGACCAAACCGGGTCCAGTGTTGGTTTGAGTGTACTCTTCGTTAAGTCTGCCTTCGTAAACGTAACCGAGCTTCTCACAACACTTCTTAATCTCTTTGACATCTTTCTCCGAGCACGTATCATCAGAAACAATAACAGTAGTCTCGTTTTCTCCGGCTTTGTATTTGGTAATTGCTTGATGATTTGGAACAACAATCTTCACGACCTTGTCGTCTCCAAAAGTAGTGCAAGAAATTACTCTAGCTTCCATTATTTATTATTGTCTTTGGGTTTATTACTCTGCTTTTGCTTAGGAACAAGAAAGAGTATAAGGGTGATGGATGATTTATATAGAGAACAATCATGTGAATGTTAATTAATGGTCAAATCACGATACATGTATGCATGTAAAAACTGTAAATGGACCACCAGATTTGGTTATTGTTTGAACAATAAAGTTGAATCCAAGAAATTGCTTCATTTTGCATGACTCATGTTTTCCACTTCACTATCTAAGAAAGTTAATGCCACAACAGTATAATGTTAAGGCACAATTTCCTATAGTTGATATGTTAAACCTTAGGCAACCAGAAAAAAAAAAGTGTTAGGTAGATAATATTAAGGGACACAGGGTCAGGGAGAAGAAAATACTAATATATACGTTTTGTATCAATAATCATTTATTTGTTCTTATGAGTCATGCAAAATGAATCAATTTGCTTGGATTCAACTTTATTGTTCATTGATCCATCCTATATCTAGTTAACCATATGAATAAGGGTTTATTACTAATTATTAGGTAGATAAAGTCAGAATTGATAAAATTTTGCATTGGCATTTTAGATGAATATAGTACATTGTTCTTATCAATAACATGTATTATGAGGTTAGAACTTGAGTGGTGTACTGGTGTGACATAACGCCAGTATTAACACAAACAACTAAACAAATTGTCATGGTCGATATAAATATATGGTGCATTTTATTGAATGTGTTTAAGAAAAACGTGAATTAGCATAATATCTTGTCATGAAATTTGATAAAAATACGCGACCCAAGACAGTTGAATAAATCCTTCACCATTTGGCTATTAACTATATACTCTATATGAATAATTCAAGCACACCTTTTTTTCTCCTCATTGCATTTTCATTTCTTTAGACTATATATTTCAACCTAACAAGAATATCTTTCTTTCCTTTTAAGGGACCACAAGAAAAATACAAGGAGAAATTCATTTATTTCACCACAAACTCTTTGGCAGAGGAAAAAATGGCATGTATAAACCCATAAAAAAAAACACGACAAACAACAACAACAAGCAAAACAAAAATGAAAACATTTAGTGAATGCATGGAGTTTTTTTTTTTTTTTGGTTTACTTGATGGATTGGTGAACTTGACCAAAGATGTCAGGACAATCATCCCAACGACCAGAATCTCGAGCTTCCCAATAACCTCCAACGTATCTATAAGTCTCACTTCCTTTCTCTTTTCTAAACCACTTTGGTTTCCAACCTCTCTCTTGCATCTCTCTCGCCTGTCTTTGTCTTTGTTCCAACCTCAACTTCTCCGCATTTCCCATTTCAAACTCTCCCTTCTCCAAATACCTTTGGTCTGGTCTAAGTCTTGAATCTGTTGGTGGCAACTTCTCCTTTAAACCAGGCGTTAGCTCGTTTAATGTGATCCCAAACCGTGTTAGATTATACTTTGTCGGGTTTTCGGGAGGTTTGTTTCGTTTCCACAAAAGATGAGATTCATTCACCTTTCCTTGATTGACCATCACATAGTGCATACTCTCATCCCATTTTCCAAACAACTTAGCCACTGTTTTTCCATTTTTGTCTTCTACTATACCTTGAACTTGATGAGGATTTCTATCGATCATCGACTGTTCCTTAAATTTAAGTTTACATGAGTATTCGCCGTTACCTTCAATCCGCATTGTCCCATAGTGATCACAATACAATTTACCAAGTATGAGATTGTATATTGATGTAGTCACCTATATTTTGAACAGAGAAGGATAAGCAACATATCATCCACAAATGTTTTTTTTTTATATAAAAAGAACTAAAGATTCATACCTTGCTCCATTGTACAATTTCACCATCATCAAATTGCAAAGTCAACAAACCAATAGGATCAAGCTGAATTGATCGACCCCAAAATTTGCTTTTTAAATTACTATCTCCCCAAAATTTCCATCCGGTGCCATCACAATGGCATGCCACAATCATAGGATGATGACTCACCTGAAAACATAATTCACAAGAGAAAGTTATCTTCACCAGACCTAATGAGTAAAGCTTATAATAAGTGTTCATATGAAAATAGAGATACCTTTTCCGAGAAAAATCGAAGGCCTTTATCGGGATAATCAGCCTCATATGTTTCACCTAACATTGGATTAAAAGGTTTGCATATTCTTCCTTCGGTTGATGCATAACCGGATACAGCAAATGCAGCTACATTCAGAATCCTCATGAGGTTATTGCCCTGAAATTTTTCATTTGCTAGGCAAAATCAAGAGGCTATCATAAAAGAATTCTAAATAATATCGGTCATTTGCATATTCGTATTACCTTTTTCCCCCATTCAGATGCTTGATCAAGAAGATATGAATACTCCAAATCTTCAAAGCATTTTTGTAGAGAAGATAAAGGCTCATTGAAGTAAACAGGAAGACAAACTTTTGTGAGATCCTTGCCAATGTTGTCTTTGATCATTGACCAAAGGCTAACACTTTTCTCTTTTTCAACCGGTTCAGGTAACTTCTTTCGTCGTTTGACATGAGGATAGTTAAATCCAATAGACTTGATAGAAGGATCAACATCATCTTCTGACTCAAAACCATTAGCAATCCCATCATCATCTGAAGAGAATGATGATGTACGAAAAACGGATCCAATACTTTTGAATGAACTTGAAGAATGAGAGTCACATGTATCAATTTCCTCCTCAGCCTCATCAAATTGTTCATTATCGTCGTCGGATTCACTATTAGTTCCTTCTGAGAGAAAAGGAATCAAGTAAAGAAAAGCTCAAGATATAAAGGTAGGTAGATAGAAAAATGTTTGTAGTAAAGAAAAGGCTTCTTGTGTCTTAAGTTACCTGAGTCTTCGTTGTCAACTTGTCGTTGAGTCTCATCTACAACCGTGTTCTCGAGATCTACTTTTTCTGTCTAGACAATGGCATAGAGACATCAATTTCTTAGAAGAGTTTAGACATATATTGGTGGATGCTTGGAATGTTTTAAATACCTCTAGTTGTCTGAGTGTATCAATGAGAAGCCATTGCTTTTGTTTAAGAAGCAAAAGCTGGCTCTGAATTGCCGAGAACTCAGACCTCGTGATTTGTTCGCAGTCTTGAATGGCTGACTCACTCACTCCTTCCTCAACCAATCTCAGCCTAAGCTTCTCTATCGAGATGTCTAAGTTGTTGGTCGGTGCCATTAACTCGCAGTTTGACATTCTTGGAAACATTTCTTTGACAGCTTGCAAAGCCTCCATCCAAGCTTCTCTGTCCTCTCTTGTCTCTGCACGTAGGTGAAGCCTCTTGGTGCCGGTGAATATTGAAAATCTCTTATCATCTGATCCACTCTCCCGAATTGATGAAACCTATACCACCAAGTAGATGATGATCAAATAAAATGTTGAGTGCACTATTTATATCATTCAATAATCAAAACTACATTTAAGGTCCAATCATATAATTTATAGGGTCCTAAGAGCGGTAAGAGTTTTTAAGCAGTAAGATATAGCGGCGATAAATGGTTACGGAATTGTACTAATGCAAAGGTGTAAGAAAGAGTGGTAAGCGGAAGGGATACAAAAAAATATTTTGTACCCCTTTGAGATCAGTACCGCTTTCATCTTCTTTTGAATCGCTTTGGCTTACGTTTTGATGATTGGTTACCATTTAAACGGTAGACCTCTTACCGCAGCGGTAAAGTCACCAATCGGAGCCATAATTTAGTTTTTCAGTTTGAAGAAAATAATGAAGCAATTTGGAGGAAACTAGCCATAGAAACTGTTCCAACAAATTGAAAATGTCACTAACAAAATCAATAGAGAAAATTGATCAAACCTTGAGGTGAACTTCGCCAAATGGCTTGCGGCGGAGCTGGTGGTTGGTGTTGTTATTGCCGGCGTGACGGTTATTCCTGGAGATCATACGCGTGGACACCTCTCCGATCACCCTAGATCCTTTCTCAGTCTCACGTAAAACAACGATCTTATCAGGTCCATGGATCTTATAGTACGAAAGCACTCCATCTTGCAAAACAAACCATCTCGGTCTCCATCCTTTCCCATAGTTCACCCATTTGTACAATATTCCCGCAATCGAATTCCCGGCGATATCGTTAATTTTAACATCCACAGGCGGCTCCCTTGCCGCTGCCGGCAAGGCTAATACGTTCTGGTGGTTAAATGAGAGACTGTGGAGGAGATGATGGTTATTAGTTTGACAGGGATGGTTATATCGTTGTGAGACAGATCGAGTAATAACAGGTTGGGACCTCGCGGAACCGAAAGGAGTTCCGGGTGTGGCGGCGTACATAGAGAACGACGGTTGCTCCGGCAACGGCGTGGAAGGGGAGTGATCGGAGACACAACAGAAAGGATGCATGTGAAGAACAATCTTCTACAACAAGAAAGCGCACATGGAAACGTGGTAGGAAATTGGGGCGGATGATGGCGGTTACGGTTACGGCGGAGGAGGAAGTTTTAAAAGAAGTTTATAGAGAAAGAGAGAAGAAGTTGGGTAGAAACAGAGGAGGCCTTCACCGGAGAAGCCAAATTTGAATTTATGGTTTTTTTCTCTATCATTAAGGACTTTAATTATGGTCAACGGTATCTTATGAGATACTTTATATTTATCCAATATTTTAAAAATTAACATTTAGGCTTTAGTTGTTTATTACTCCATGTAACAACTGTAAGGCCTTATTATATAAAGTGCTTATCATGATGTAATCAGAAACGACTATATATAAATATGTAATGCGAATAAAAAAGCACAAAAAAATTTAAATAACGAATAAAAATGCTCAGCTACTACGAATCATAATATATACTACTAATTTTAGTTGAGAATATAATTACTTTTTATCAAGAATATTAATAGGCTATAGCCTATAGGGTTCGAATTGGAAACGTGGGACACACTGTACAAAACCTTTAAACTTGAGTGATTTGAAATTTGGTTTGACATAAAATTTTGATAAGTACAGGGAATTATTCGATCCAATCATCTAAGCAAAAGAAATTATATATGTATGACCTTAACTAAACCCAAGAGATTTAAAAATAGAAAAAAAAACACCCCCATTGGCCGTAATGATTAAGTATGAGTGCATTGGAATTAACTATCAATCAAATTAACGTGGAACCCTCTAAGATTTGATTCATTTTTATATCAATCCTACAAGAAAATGGGTCCTCTATTCTAATATCTCTTTTTTATTATTATTATTCGTTTGACTGAAACCAAATGACAAATCTAAATCTTTCCTGGAAAAAACCCAACAAAAGCAAAGTTTCAAAGCGGAATAGTGGAAACTGGAAAGGCATAAAATGGTTTTATTATAATCTGTTTCTCCGCTGCCAAAGATTTTTCCGTTAAAATTAAAAAATACTGTACCAGTAGAAAATTGAAGATTAGTTATATAAACTTATAATCACTTTTTTGATATAAGTAATTTCACTTAAAGATAATAATTAAAAATACATTCGACACCAGATGCCAAATTTGAAAATGAAGGCTAATATTTCCTCTGAATTGGTCTAAAATCTAAATAGTAAAAAATATTACCTTTAAGGGAAATTGTTAAAAATGCTCTTTTTGGTGTGTCCCTTTTCAAAAATGCCTCTTATAGATGTCCATTTTAAAAAATGCCCCTTTTTAAATCTAAAATTTTTATAAAGTTTTATTAGGTTTATAAGGTAATTATGGATTGTAACTACTACTTGAAGACTCGATCCAAGTATTTATAAGGTTTTATAAGGTGTTTTTAAAGGTTTTACAAGTTATTTTAAAGGATTTTTAAGGTTTTTCAAAGGTTTTACAAGATATTTTAAAGGTTTTTAAAGATATTTAAAATGCATTTATAAGGTATTTATAAAGTATTTATAAGATTTTAGATACATAAAAATGTAGTTTGTATATGTTTTAATAATGTTACATACATATTTGGGTAAATCTTATATTTTTAAGAGCATTTTTTATAAAGTTATAAAGAATGGGCATTTTTGAAAAGGGGCATTAAAAAAGGGGCATTTTTGCAAAAGCCCCTAATTAAAAATACATTCGACACCAGATGCCAAATTTGAAAATGAAGGCTAATATTTCCTCCGAATTGGTCTAAAATCTAAATAGTAAAAAATATTCGTTTGACTTGGGTTCACGTCTTCCGACACTATAAACCAGAGCTGCTTGTCGACCAATCTCGTTTAACATTATAGTAGTCGCTGATAACTTTACCTTTTTTTTTTTTTTTCTAAAGCATAACAAAATAAAATTTGATCAAATTTCTTTAACATGATACATATAATTTTTAAAAATAATATTTCCACATACATACGATTATAAGTTTATAAAGTTCTATGACAAAAAAAAAAGTCTCTCATTTAATTTGTCTAAAAAATCCATTATCGAATGCTTGAGACGCAACAAAGGAAAGAAAATAAAATGGATAAAGACAACATAAATCAAAGAGCTTTTTATTCTCCCAAGAAAGAATAGTGTATATATTTTCTTAAGATAGACCAAAATGCTCTTCGATAGCCAACAAAAGAACATTGCCTGTGAGAACATGAATCACACAACCAGAGGCACCTCAAAGACATGCTTGTTTGTATCCTACATTTGGTGCCTCTGCCTCTTCCACAGCTATCAAAACTGAACTATGAATTTGTCTCATTATAGCCTCTAAGTTCTCATGATCTTTAAAAAGTATGCCACTCAGGTTGATAATTTAAGAGCCGAGATTTAAAGGAGCTGGGCTACTTTCTGAGCTAAAACATTTTTCGGCTCGTATTCCCGAAAAAAGAAGTGGCGTTAACACAGTGTGTACTCACAATCCAGCAAGCCTCTAAGTATCTCTTCACAATTTGGGCGTTCTTCAGGCTCTGCCCAACAATCTGCACAGAAATTATGGTTAACTTAACTCAAACTGTAGCAGTTATTGTATTAAAGTTCAAGACACATAGTATTCAACAACATTAAACCTGCAATTAGTTTGCTGAGTGGACCATCAGGAATCTCCAAACGTGACCCTTCATGCGCAACAGCAAAGACAACCTAAGAAGCAAATTTCATTAAGTAATCAAACTCACATTCTAAACAAATGAAATTATTTTCCTCGAAAGAAGTGGTGAATGAGAACATCACTAGAGGAATCATGTCACAACATATTATACCTTCTCAGGTGGAACACCTTCCCATGGTTTACGTAAAGTTGAAAGTTCCCACATTATGACCCCAAGACTAAAGATATCACACTTCTCTGTAAAAGGCTTGTTGCGAATGAGCTCTGGAGCCATCCACTCTGGTGTACCAGCAGATGAAGTGTCCTTCATGTTTTCATCAGTCATTATTCTTGAGAGCCCAAAATCACAGATCTTGACTGTCCAATGTTTGTCCACTAGACAGTTGGCACTTTTTAGGTCACGGTGGACTATCTTCATCCGGTGTATGCACATCAAACCCCTTAAGCATCCCATAAGAAATACAAAACAACAGGAGATAAGCATATGCAGCTTCTTCTTTTTTTTTTGGGTCTAAAGATAAGCATATGTAGCTTAAAACATATAAAGGGAAATATGCAAGGCATCACAGAACAAATAACATATCGTGTGACTTGGTCCATGTTTCTCATGTAAAAGAGTGTACTGTGCCTATCCTTCTTCAGTGGAAGTCATTCAAGTTTGCTCACTCCACTAAGATGTAATAATAATCAATAAGGAATAAGATAAATAAAAGAAAGATGAAAGAAGCCACAAGTAGTCATGGTGCATCCTAATTCCTAAAATACGTCAGAATTTATGCATTATCCATGAAAATTCGGTTAAACCTCAGAGACTCACCAACATGACCCACACGTCATGGTCACCAAAAGGCAGATAAGGAACAGAATAAATTTGAACATAAGAAGCAAGCTATATACCTGCAGATGTCTCTAAGCATCCTGAGCCTTCTGTGCCAGCTAAGTTTCTTCTTCTGACCACTCATGTGGATCAAATAATACAAAGATCCCAGCTCCATGTATTCCGTGATCATAGATAAGCGTGGAGGTTTTGTGCATGCACCAAGGAATAATACAACTGCAAAAACATAGATCACAACTTGTCTGATAAAGGTGAATGAAGAAAATAATCTCAGACATGTCTCCACAAAATAAATTGATAAAGATGACAAGAGACGCAGAAGACATGGGAAAAATAATCACCATTTGGGTGGCGAACACGGCTGAAGAGAAAACCGCAGATGCCCGAGCAAACATGCAAAACCATTAGTAGATGTACACAGGGGTGATCTAAGAGTGACCAATAAGTTGGTAACAATACCTGAGAATTGAAATTTCATTGCAGAAATCTTCCATGTTTTCGGCAGTAAGATCTTGCTCCAGAAACAATTTGATTGCAACATCTGTCCCATTCCATACTCCACGAAAAACTTCACCAAAAAACCCTAGATACAAAATATAAGCCAATGTCTCTTTACATGAAAGTTTTGAGATTAGTTAACATGGAAAAACAGAATACCAACATAACAGTGAAGTTCTTGAATTTGCAAAAGACGTTCGATATAGCATACTAAATAAGCCTCATAGCTCATTTATCTATTGTTAAGGTTTCAGAAGGATCAAGTGTCCGTGATTAAAAGATGATTTGCTTACAAAACTCTGGTGTGACGGCAAGAATACAGCCATCTCAAAAAAATTCAGATTTTCTGATGTTTATCTACAACTAAGAAAAAAAGCTGTCTACAAAAACTCTTTGTCTTTTTTCTTTGGTCAGAAAACTATATTCGTTTATGTTTTTGCTTTATGACATTAACATTAAATATTAGGGATCAGAGTGATTACATTAATTGGCAAGTCAAAAGAAATAACTACACTTACTTAACTAATTGAAAATGAACTCAAACCTGCATTTTCTATATCAAAGTTAGTAGTAAATTTAGAGCAGCTTACCAATCCCCACCCGAGTTCCAACCGTCAGCTCTGAGAAGTCAATGTCCCATTCTTGATAGGGTAATAAAGGCTGATTCTGCAATGTGGAAGACTCAACCACTTTATTCCATGTATCCTTCACGGCAAATTCTGAAGGCCCTCTTCTTCCAAATGTTTGACACCTGTAAGCATGGGGAGATGATGGCAATGACATTGTCTTCTTAGAATTTAACTCATCATCAAGATGGAGACCAGACACCTGAGACAGCACAAACAAAAATCACAATAACTTTAGAGGTACGAGCTAATAGATACAAAGTGACCTTCTGGAGAAACTCAGAACTTTTAGACTGGTTATACAATGAGAAAGGAACTAACACAACAAAACAATCACTCATACTAACAGAGAGCCAAAACTTACGTTGTTATCGATACCTGAGCTGTTTTCATCCTCTCGGCCCTGCAAGAGACGGTTTTGCTTTGATTTCTCATACATTTCTCTTACAGCGCTTCAATAATATGTTCCTCAGAGTCAATACACAAGCAAATCTTAAAATCACAGTTCTTCATGAGTTCTTTCTCACGATTCTCAGTATCATAATCATAAAGTTAAAAGGAGTACCATCAAATGGCTTACAGCTTCTATGACTATGAACGTAAAGATATACTTCCATGTTTATCATATTACCATCTTATAGACACCTAAGCATATAAAAGTTTGGAGATAGCAGTTTTGTATTCGAGTTGACTCATGCCAGCTGCTCAGATGATCGTAGATTTTCAAAATACCTTACCAACTTAGATTTACAGAATAAACTTCAATATAGAGACTTCAATATGCAAGGTGAAAATGACACAAATGCTGCTAAACGATGAAAAGAGAAACAATTCACATGGATGAGAATACCAACCTTGCAATGTCATCGCCAATCTCTGGTGTGATCCTAAAACTTCGCCGTCTAGTTTTACGAATTTCTGATGTGGATGAACTGTTTGGAAGCTAGAGAATATTAAAAATTGCTTGCACAGCCAATCAAATATACATATTTCTGTAGGCATCTAGTATAATCATATCAGAATTCTGGCAAACAATTCAAGATTTGTAAAGTATAATATCACAGCGGTGGAGTGAAATAAGAAAGACAATAACTGATCCTTGAGCTGCCGTCATTTTAACATATAAGAGCAAATATGAAAAATCCAGCAATGATTGATTCTTGAAATGTATTCATGCAGACTTGTATAAGCAACTTAACTAATACTGAATTGTCCAGACAAACATGCTGATTTTGGCGTGTACTAATGTAATGGCATACTGACTATTTTGGCATGTACTAATGTAAAAATGAGCTACCTTGAAGGAGATGCATCACCAGAGTAATCCCGGTATGAATTCCTGCCAGTGCTCAACATTGATCGTCCACGTCGCATAGATGGGTGTTCTGGGCTGCAAATGTAACAAATGGCCAACTTTCATCAGTTGTGTATAGAGAAAACAAGGGTAGCTCTTGAAAGGCACACTTCAGATAACAGAATCGCTAATCAAATTGGCCCAGAGACATTTTAATCAAGAGACATTTAAATATAGGATCAGCAAACAGAAGAAACATAAATTTACAATTTCCAACTCATTACTGTATCTAAAGACAACAAGAGGTCGTACCACTGTATTATTTTATTTTTCATTAACTATAATACAAGCCAGAAAGAGCATGGAAAAACCTTGAACTAGCTGTTCTCTGTTCAGCAATTACTTTTCTGCGGCTACGTCTCCAGAATACAGTGGCAACATTTGGTTCACTATGCGAAGTGTTGCTGAAGGAAGAAAAGCACATTTCTATCATACCAATCATTGTACTGATTCCATTATACAACTTGTCAGAAATATATGTAATAGTTACCTCAATTTCCTTTCAATTGCTGTAGCAGGTCTGAGCATCAAATTACGCAGTGATGGACCAGATGCATTTGGATTTTCTGTACTGTAGCATAGGAAACGATTTATCACTCTAGGGGACGTTTATCACAAGAGTTGTTTTAGAATGATCTTACTGTAATATGCTTTAGAAAGAAAATCACACAAGGGAAGCCGACCTCTCAGGATCTCTTCTCTCATATAAAGGACTATTTGGCTCCAAAGGCGAGTCACAAGAGTCGTTTTCTGCAGAATCACTCTCTCCAGCAGGTGAGATGTGTGACATGAAAATTGCCTTGGCTGATCGCGGTACCAGCTGACCAGGAAACCGAATTAGATCGACTAGTAGTTCAACGGAATTTAGCACAACTATAACAGACATGTGTTTGTTAGAGTCCATGCAATTCACAGTCCCATCACTAGGCAGACCCTGCTCATGTGAATCAAAAGGGAAACTGAGTTGTTTTGTAAGAGACAAATGGCACAAGAATGTCACTGCAAAATTTCTTTTTGCAACATATTAAAAAGTGCAGGTATAGAAAATAAAAATGAAATATGAGAAACTGAGGCTCACCACCACCAGCCGACTTTCAAGTCCTACAGTATCAGCTAGAACTTTGAACAAAATTGCCCGAGCTCGACAGCACCCACGCTTAATTTGGCCAAGCAACTGAGCACCATGGTTTTCAAACAAAAACGCATTTTCCTCTAAGGCAAGTTTTGAAGGGCTTTCCAGTGTTGGACGTTTGTAAAAGTCAGATACCTGTTTGAGGAGAATGAATTTTATTAGTAGAAGGGCACCACCAAGCATAGAACTTTCCATCAACGTCCAACCAAAAGCCATAAATGAAAGACATCTCATTGTTTCATAGGACAAGCCATTGCTAAAACAATTACTTGTTTCTTAACAAAACAGAAATTGATGTAATAATATATCCAGAGCAGAGGAAAAAATAGAGAAATCATTGGCAGGGAGTGCGATAGACCATAACAACGGAGGCGGTTTAAGAAATAAATGCCCAACTACGAGAATATGTAATGCGGAACTGTGACAAAGAGGGAAGAGTCATTATACCGTTCCAGCTATTTTCTTAATCACCAAAGCAGGATTTGAGCCGCTGACAAGTGTAGTGATCAACTGTTTCAGCATTGCGAGCTTCTTATCTTTTTGAAAATCAACAAGAATAACTTCAATTCTGACACCTTCCTCTCCCAAAGCATGAAGCTCACTCGGAGTAGGTAGTCTATTATATAGTTCCTTTACTCTCTTATCCTGGAGCAAAATTTCACATTCAATCTGGAACGAAGGCAAAGAAACAACAAAATCTGAATTAGGACATATCACTCACCGGAACAACTGAGTAGAAACCATTAGGAATCGGTTCAGAGAGTATTCCAGTATCCCAAAGATGCTGTGATGCTCTTTGACCAGGAGAACAATCCTGCTCAACACTTGTAGGAGAATCCTTACTCAAAGCATCACCTTGAGATTCAAAAGAAAGCAACTTAACCCTTTCCACAAGTTCTGATCCCTGGTGTGTAGGGCTTGATTCATCATCTCGTCTCTCTTCCATCTTTCAGATAATTTGATGTATTGTATCACTACTTTCTCACCATCTGTTACCCCAAAAGAGGCTTTCTAAATCGAGTACAAAGCTTTGATTGGTGTAGAATTAAACCCATCTGCTCTTGTTTCTGCACTAAATGAGAAAAAGACATGTTAACCTTTGTTAGACAGAGAAGTTAGCTGGAAATGTAACGAGGTTCTGTTTGTTTGACCCACAGGGATTGGTTAAAATGAGCAAACCAAGAAGACTCTGTTCTCTTCTGTAGTAAAAACAACTTTATGTCATCAATTCGTTTATTGGCCCACAGAATTTAATATCAAGAAAAAAGATTCGAGAGTAACAACCTCAAAAAATCCGCACAAAAGGTACAATTCATAAGCAACACGAAAAAAAAAAAAAAAAAGTTGTATGCACATTCTCACATCAAAGAGCCACCAAACCCAAAACTCTAACAAGAGAGCACTAATGAAACCTCATAATAACCAAACCAATAAAAACCTACATTACAGATACCAAATTCAATGGTATTAAGCAACGCATTGATTCGTGCAAATCAAACCGATTCAATCAAAAAAAGCTAACCTAAATGAAATAATAAAGACGATCAAATGAGAAAGATGTGAAATTCGTGGAAGATAGAAGGATCGGGGAAGAGAATTGATTTATACCGGCGATGACAATGAGCATAATCGGAGAGGCTCTTTCGTCTGAGAGGAATGAGGAAGAAGAAGAAGGACGAGGGAGGGAGAGAGAGAGAGGAAGGTCACGTGGGAAGGAAGGAGATAGTGAAGAGAGATGGGGAGAGCGGTCACGTGACTGTTAGGGGAAATACAGCTGGCGATGGGCTGTTGGGCCTCTCAACTGTCTCATATGCTTCCAAGTCAATGGCTCCTCCTATTCGACCCTACTTTATTTATTCATACGTTACTATTACTTCTTTGCTCAAAAAAAAAAAAAAAAAAAAAAAAAAAACGTTACTATTACTTAGAATTTTTTTATATATAATACTCGTACTAAAAAAAAATTGAAAATTATTACCAGTTATGAAATAGATTTGTGTGGGAAATGAAATTAATAAAATGGTGAAATGAGGTGGATAATAATAGTATAAGACTGACTAGTAGTAGTAGGAGTTTGAGATTCCTGAAAATAAACAAAAGTGAAAAAATGAAAGGTACAGGTCTCTCTCTGTACGAGTGTACGACTCAGACGGACCACACAGAAACTGTCGGCAAAGGACATAAAACAAAAATGATGCACGTGATATATAGACGAGACCTCACGCGTCTTTTACAAATATCTTCTTTCATGATCTTCACTAATTGGATAAATTAGTATGATAATTAATGGGAAAATTGGAAATAAAAGATATCTACTTAAAAATTTGTCCATATACAACTTTTTTGTGAAATTGTCAGTTTGGACGATTTTACCCCTACACCCTAATTTAAATGTTTTTTAAAAAAAATAATCATAAAAACAGGTAGATATACAAGAGTAGAGGTGATTTGAAGTGAATTTTTTTAGATTTGGTTTTAAAAAAGTTGATTTTTTGATAGATAAAGTTTCATCTAATTTTGGTAGAACACGTTTTCTAGAGTTCTGCGAAATTCAGAATGTGTATTCTGCATTTTTGTACATGTTCTACATATTTCAGACTAGATTTATGTTCTGAGAATTTTAGAAATCCGAAAATCATATATCTAAAATATTTAGAACATGCATTCTACGTTTTGTTCTGTGTTCTAAATATTTTAGAATACCCGTTCTAATAATTTCTACATCTTCTGCCATCGTTAGAAATTGTAATCTTCGTTTAGAATGTAAATTCTACGGTATTGCAGATTTCGATTTCTGTAATTTTTAGAATGTTTTAAATATAGAAAGTAAATCTTTAGAAAATGAAACAAAATATAATTTTTAGATTATGTTTTAAATGAATATTTATTGTTTATATTATGATCTACAATATGTAGAAGTCGTTTTCCAATCTTTTTAGACAAAATTAAAACCTAAAACGTTTTCTAAACCCTAAGCTCGTAATTATCTAAGTCGTTGTCTACAACTTTTTAAAAAAAAACTAAGAACACGTTTTCTTTCAAATTCTTTTTTTTTTTCTTCAACGATTTGTGCCTTAGTTTCTCGATACACATCTATATAAAGAGTCGTGTGCGGAGATTTTGACATGAGACATGTGTGGGCGGTAAGACCGTTGTCCATGACCAAAAACAATTTTAAATGAAATTCTTAGTATTGTTTCGGTGGTGACTAGACAAAGGATCAATAGTAAATTTGTAAAGTGGAACTTTGCATCACTGACACTACTTTTGATCAGGAAAGAAGCATGTATGAATCTAAAATCTCGGCGTTTTTATATTAAAGTGGTGGAGAATAAGCTCTTTAGATTTCTATTTAATTTTTGTAAATAAATTAGGAAGTTTTATTTTTAAAATCAATTTTTAATTAATTTTGAGAGAAAATGAGGGTAAAATTGGGTTTTGATTTTTTAAAAAACCTATTTGACCAATCTACAAGAAAAAGATATATATGGACAAATTTTTAAGTAGATATCCTTTATTTCCAATTTTCCCATAATTAATCCGTCACAAATGTAGCTGATAATCTATATAATTTCCAATTTTATCAAATAACATTGTTTTATATACTGTTACAAATAATTCTACGTCGGCCAAAATCGTGATACCTAGATAGAATAAGCATGTCAAAAGTAAATCAAAAGTGAAAAATTGAAAGCTCCCACAGCTTGATCCGCCACTATGACTCTATGACTGTTCACTTCAGCCACTTTTCTGAATCGAGAAGACATTTGTTGCATATGTACAAAATGATTCAGCACCGTAGAATGCAATTATGCAAAGCACACACCATGTCGACCAACATAAACCTATAAAGCAAAATAGTATGCATAAGGCGTCCCAATAAACAAATCCTCGCCGCGTGTTACATACAAGCTAGCTTGATTCACTTTCCAGTTCCAGTACTCAAACCATATATCTTACGTTCACTAGGCACTAGCTATTTAGCTATTATCGTACACATAAATATATATTTTTTAAAATGTTGCATGGAAATGTTTTTTTAAATACTGTTTATCATGCTATGGTGACATTCAAGTTTTAAGTCTTCCGATAACATGTTTATATCATCAAAAAAAATCTAAAACTTACAAAAAAAACAAAAAATTGAAAACTTGTGTAAATTTCAGGAAAAAAAAAATTATTTTTGTTGGACAATTTGAACTTGTACCTATTTTCTAAAAACTTACAGAATATTCTGAAAAACTTCAAAACATATATATTCAGATATTCTAACCAAAGTATTAAGAAACTCTAAGAAAATATCTGAAATTCTGGAAAAAAGTATTTTCATATAAATTATGGGTATGAAAAATAAAATTATGAAATAAAATCTGTTTAGTTTGGGCCGAAGAGCTTCAGTTCTAAGCCTGTGGCCCATTTGTATAAGGTCATTCTCACACACTCATGTGATATAGTTTTTTCTTCCTTCAACTCCATTAGCTCGGGGAATACACATAGCGACTCTATATAACCAATGTAACTACAAGTCTACAGTATACATATTAGATTTATTATTATTTCAAACATTTAGTCTCCATGTAGCAGAACATTTTATATACTTTAGCAGCGATGTATTTATTATTTTAATCAATTAAAAGATCTGAAACCTGTTAATAATTTAATCGTTTGCCGGTTCACCTGCTCGCTCAATTCATACTACATAATAACTTTGGCATTTCACTGAAAAATCATTAGGAAAAAGAAAAACAAAATGAGAAGAAGATTTAGATAAGAGAGAGAGGCCAAAGAATGTGACGTATATTATTGTCTTCATCTCATTTATTTCTATGTGTACTTATTGCTTATCCGTGGATGCTTCGGCCACTTAAGTTTTATAGGATTCCAGTGCTATGTTTGCTTTTTCATACAGTATAACACACAACAATAACTTCAAATTTTGATTAAGATTAGTAGGTTATTTGTTTATAAAGTTATAACACTACAAAAAAAAAGGTTGAATTGAATCACTTAAATTGACTCACAAAACTAAATGATATTGTTTTAAATTACTTATTAATAATTGATACAAAAATTAAAATGTAACATCATTTGTAATAATCGATGTAGTTATTAATTTGTATGACATCAATTGATTAAAACTGATGCAAATCTAAATTAATCTGTATCACTTTTACATATTGATACAAATATATAAATTTACATCAATTAAATAATTGATTCATCTATTAATTTATATTAACATCACTTAAGAAAATGATATTTAATTTACATCAATAAAAAGTGATGCTAATAAAAATTATTTTAATAACATCAATTTTTTTTAAAAAATTGGTAATTTAGAATCAATTCTTTTATGATTTTACATCACTTTTTTTTAATTGCCGATCCAAAAATTTCCCTTTTTTTTTTTTTAACGTTTGGATTTATTATTTATTGCAAATTATGAGAACTGTTACATAGATGATTCTACAACGGACAATTCCTTCCGACCCTTATTAGATCCACGACAGACGACACCTTCTTCACCTTCTTCACCTTCTTCTTCATACTCACCTCCTTCACCTCCTTCTTTATGCTCTTGATGGACACTTCCCTCTCTGCGTAGAATCCTGGCGAACGGCTATAATTGTACATCGCTGGAGATCTCCTACACACTTGCCTCCAATAATCTGCAAATTTATTAATAAATCGCAGTATCTGGGACTCGAACCCCAGACCTCTAGGTGTAGAAGCATTAATTAATCCTTGTTCAACCAATGGGTCAAGAGGCTTCCACAAAATTTCCCTTTTCTTTTCAATTTTTTCGTGGGTGTCTTTTTTTTTTTTAAAACAAATCTAGTCTAATATTTTTTTGGAAACAGAATAATCATTTACCTTTTCCCCACGATTACCAATCTTCCTAGAATCCTAACTTCTCTAATATCTCTAGAAATATACGTTTCCTTGACACTATCTATTAGATATTATTTTTTTTACATAACTTCTTCTTTTATCAATATACAAACTTTGTAATGATTTTCCCTTTCAATATACAAACTTTGTAATGATTTTCTCTTTCTGTAACATCCAAGCGCATATAGAAGAACGAAACGCCAAAAACATGCCGTCAAAATTAAACCGAGTCAAATTGTTTATGTCTATTCTAGTGTAACCGGTGAAGAAGTCGGAGCCGCCAATTCTCAGTCCTCTCGGTCTCACCCCTAATTAAGAAGATCGGAGAAAAAAAAGCCAACGGTATACAACCTTCAGTCTAATGTCACGGTGGTTCCATTTGGTATAGCTCTTGCCTTTAACGTCAAGGAGCCGGAGAGAGATCGTGAGAAGGTTAAAAACATAAAGCACAATGAATTTTTTTTTTGAGACCTAGATTTATCGTAAAGGAGCTTAGCGGGTCGTGAGGAAGGCTATAAGGACATCGTCTCTGTGTGATTCACCGTTGATGGAAAATATCCAAAGGGTTTTCAGCATGAGATTCAAGGTTTGGTCGAGATTGATGTACCTGAGAATTAAGGAACAAAAGTAGTTTATGGTTTTGCGTTTGTTTTTGACTTTTGAACCATGTATCGTGTTCTTCTATGAAATTTAAGATTTTTATATTATTTTATTTATAATTATTGATTATTGAAGAAAACACATTATTATAAATAATTATGAAAACTAAAACTAATTTTATAATAATTGATAAAAAAAATATTTTTAACATCTATTATTGTAAATGATACAATTATTTGACATTTATTAATGACATTAATCTTAACATTCATTTTTTTACAACTGACGGAAATATTTAACATCACTTATCATAACCGAAATAAATACTAACATCACTTCTACAAATTGATAGAAAAGGTAGTATCATTTTTGGCAATTGACACATATTGAAATCGATTATAACAATTGATGCAAAAATAAAATAAATTTACATCGGTTTCTAATAAAACGATGTAAATTATTTGCATCACCATTTTCAGAGTCATTTTAATAAGTGATGTTAAATTTCTTTGTGTCAATTATAAGTAATGCAAAAATCCAAAATAAATGATACAATCTACCTTTTTTTTGTAGTGTAACTCATATAGACAAGTTGAATTCAAGTACAAGCTAACGATGATTTAGTTACATGAATTTGTATTTACTTTTCATTCAATAAAATTCATAATACGCTCACATAGAACTATTGTTAAAAAAAAAAAAATGATTATTTTCAAAGATTTAATCCAACTAATTATTTTAACCAAGTAGAGATTAATGATTTTTCTTTCGTGGTTGTGTCTTTTGAATAAGACTCATGGGGTATCACTTTGGGCGGTACTGTGAAGTCATATTCACCTGTCATTTTGAACATCTTATAAGATTCAGAAAACTCATATGCATATCACTAAAAAAATAAAAAAGTAAGTTATAGATTTGAAAAGAAAAACATTCCAGATAAATGTTAAGTAAAGGCTCGGGCTACGAAAGAAATTTGGTGTAAAAAAGTGGACCACCAGACCAGATACGTCGGTCATATTGGAGGAGTAATTAATTAATAATGTTTTTTTCTCATTGTGCAACTTCACATCACGGATTACGTACGTCAATAAATACCAAAATACAAAATGTTAAGTAACCGATGACCACCCCCTCACATGATTCACTGACCAACGAATTGAGATCTGATGACTCTGTATTAAACTACCCCCAAGTCTTTGCAATTTTTGTGAATTCAAATAGAGAAAAAAAGAAGATATTTTGGTTTATAGATCTTGGCTAATCAAAAAAAGTTATGGAGACATATGACTTTTATTATTATTTTTACAAACCTTGGACTCATATAAATCATTTCCTTAAACGAACAAGTGTAAAGTAACGTATGATTAGTTGGAAAAATAAGTAACGTATCATTATCTACACTCCAAATGTTAGAAAAAGGTTCCTTTCTTTCATGTTTTGGTCACTACTGTCTATTTAATTTGTTTATATATTTTTTTTTCTGACAACCTAGCAGCAGATTTATTCTTTTATTTTGTTCCCCACTACTATATAGTATACATTGTACTCTCTCCTTTTATTCTTTAATAAATTATTTTTGCACTTTTGTTATTTGTTTTTATCTTTCTCATGTAAGTTGGATTTGTTCACACATTTGATTTACGAAAGTTGGATTTATCAATAATAAATTAATAATAATGTTTGTTTGGCAACCAAATTATGAAATTGAAAGATGATTTATTGAATGATTGATGTCCAGTTTGAAGGAAAACAAATTTACAACTTATTTATGTGTTCACAATATCCTATACAAAATATTTGATGAAATATCTTATATTCTTTTGGATATATAAACATCTTATTTAACATTATATAATATCATATTCTTAAAATAAATAAAGTCTGAAGAAATGTATAGATCTCGTTGCCAATACCTTACCTTTAGAGATTAGTATATACTTATCGTCCCACCTTGTATCATAGAAAACTTCAAATACACCATGTGCTACTTATCCATTTTATTCATTGTTTTTCTTTCATTCATAATTATTCTCTAAGTTTTCCAACTAATTGGCATACTATTTAAAGTTTCAAATCATTTCGATATATAAAATATTTGCATGCCTGCTACATTCTCCCTACTAATAATTATACAAAGCACATGAAATGGACGTTAAAAAAAAAAAGAATTGTTGATAGAGACATAAGGAAAGGCAACTAGTGTGAACAAAAAAAGAAGAAAAAAGAAATTTCCATTTTAAGTATTACTAAATTAATCAACATGCATTTATAAATTTTATATAACAATTATTTTGCTTAATTAACTTAAAAAAAATTCAAAGAAAGGGACAAATCAAAATGACGCAGCCTAAAGAGAAAGAAGTAGGAAGAATATGACAACCTCACATATATTCGTTTTCACCTTCCTCTCTTCATTATTATTTTCTCTTCTCTAATCTCTTACTCTTTCTCTGTCTCTCTCTATCTTCAATCCCGCGTTTTCTCACTGGTATTGCACTTCCTCTCTCTCTATATGTATCTATATATCTGTGTGTATATTTCTCTGGTTCGTCTTCTTCTTTTCTTCTTACTCTGTTTCCTACTCTGTTTCTATAACAAGAAACACAATCTTGAGCTGGTTTTTGCCTCTCTCTGTTCTTCTGCTTCTGATTCTTTATACACAAGTATGAATACGTATCTGTGTATATTTAGGTTTCGATTGGAAAACAAAAATATTTTTCATTGTTTAACTAATTTCTCTAATTGATTTGGATTCATAAATAATGGGCTCACGCGTATACATTTGAATATGTATTTCTGCTGGGTTCTTGAGTCTTGTGGGGTTTTAGAATTAACGAAGAAATATTAAATCTTGATAAGTTTTCAAGAAGCTGAGAAAAGTTCCATCAAGGCGGCGAAAGAATGACTTTATCTATCTTTCTGATATAGAGTTTTGATTTTTGGAAGTTTTTAGTTTTCGAATTTGATGGTTTTGTGACACATTTGTCATAATCTTGACTTAGATTCTTGACATGGAAGAATAAAACTAGTTGAAGAGGTTTATTGTGCAAATTACTTGATCTTTTGAAGTTATTGCAAGTCTTCTAATGATGATTTGATTATGCCGAAGCAAAGGGATTTTCATGTTAATGGGGAGCTTCATGATGGAAGAGAGGCAATTAGATTTCAACCGCCCGCTAATATCCGTTAGACGGCCTGCACAAACTTCAGAATCTGAGAGCAAAACAAGATCTTTTGATGCAGCAAATAGCAAGATTCCTCCTTCTCCACCGGTTTACAAGTCTGATATCAAGTCAGGTCCTGTGAGAAATCCAGGAACTGTTCCTTTTCAATGGGAACATAAGCCGGGAAAGCCGAAAGACGAAAGGAAACCGGTTTTACAAAGTTTTGTAGAGCCACATTTTGTGCCAAAGCTTCCTCCTGGTAGAGAGCGAGTAGAGTTAGTGAGGAAACCTGAAACTAGAGCTGATCACCAGACCAAAACTGTATCGTCTTCGGATAAATATCTTGTGGAGGAGGCAAAGAGTTATAGTTCTCGGTATGATGATGATGATGATAGTGATGGTACTTATCTTGATGCAACTGATACACTTTCAAGATCTGAGTCATTCTTTTTCAACTGTAGTGCTGTTAGTGGTGTGAGCGGTTTGGATGGTTCCGGGATACTAGTAGAGCCATTTGGAACTTTATCGAGTGATCGACAAACTCAGGATCTAATGATGGGGAGATTCTTGCCTGCAGCTAAAGCATTGACTTCAGAAACACCTCCACATCTTACTAGGAAACCGCCTAAACCAGAAGAACCGACTAAGCAGTTGATGAAGAAGGTAGTACTGGTAAAGGAGAAACAGAACAAAGTTGAGCAAAATCCGTATCGGTTTCATCATTCATCTGATCAAGAAGAGGAAGATGAAAATACAAGCAGCATGGGTTCTAGTATTTGTGGATTAGTCCCTCAGATATGCTTGAGAAGCTCTTTAGGACTATTGAATCCGGTTCCATCTGTGAGAATGCAAGCACAAAGAGCTGTTTCTGTTCGTCGTATGCGTTCTAAGTATCAAGATTCTACACCTTGTAATGAAATTCAGGACAAGGTAATTGATTCCCTCTCCTTCTCGCCGCCTCTGCTCATCCTCTCACTGAGACCTTTTTTCTGATCAAATTTCTTTCTTTTTTTCTCCACAGAAAACCTATGAAACTGTGAATGAAGATAAGAGGAAGTTGAAGCTAAATGGATCAGTTGCACAAGTGCATTCTCAAGATGAGTCATTATCAGTATCTTCTATTCCACAAGGAAAGGAAAAACTCGAGAGCTTCTGCACCGCTTCACGCACTAAAACCAGCAAAAACTTTGGTGAGCTCTTGGCTAGTGATGATAATACATGGGAACCTTCGTCTGAGACTCTTGTGGCAGAGAAAACTCTGTATGTAGACACCGTGCATTCAGTAGATAAGAAGGTACAAGAAGAGTCCAAGAAGCAATCTTTATCAAAAGACTATCCTTCACTAGACATTGTTCCTGTTAAAGATGAAGAAGCTGCTATCTCGCAGCCTAAAAGCATTGAGCAAATGAATGGTAACAGAGATGAGGATTTCACTAAATTCTCTAGTCAGAAAGTTGAAGAATGTCCTGATCAAGCTACTGTTGCACTGCCAGAATCCAATGTGGTAGAGATTACAAAGGAGAAGAAGATTGATCTTGAAGTCCAGTTGCAGGGAATCACAACAAATCTTGAAAGCTCAAGGCTTCATCATCGTTCATCTTATCACATTGTTCCTCCACCACCATTACCAAAAGCTCCTTCAGATTCTTGGTTAAAGCGTACATTACCAACAATACCATCAAAGAACAACTCATTCGCATGGTTACAGTCTCTTGGCACTGATGATAATCACTTCACCAAGACTCAAGCTAATCCCAAGTGGGAAACTATGGTCAAAACGTCCAATACACAACAAGGTTTTGTGTGCTTCTCCAAGGTAAACAAAAGAAGAAACTTTAACCTTCACTTTCACAAATGTGTCTTAATTTTCAAAGTCAATGCTTGGCAAAATGTGTTAATACTTGTTTAACATGTTTGTTCTTTCAGGAAACACTAAACTCTATACCAGAGTCATAGCAAGACCAAAACAAATTCTCACTTGAAATAATGAAGAAGGTGTAAATTTTTCACACCAAATTACATGTAAATTTCAACAATTAATAAAGAAGGGATGGGCCAACAAAGTTTGGGTTCTTTGTCTTTAGTTATTTGTGTAAATCTGAATCAAAAGATTCCATAATAAAGAGAAAGCTATGGAGATAATTGTCTTAAATATTGTCTGTCATTTATGGAGAGGTTTCTTGTTGAAGTGATGTACAGCTCATGTTAACAGAGATTTTGTGGCAATAATTCCATGTGACACTGCTTCTTTATTCTCTACTAATAGACATTTCTTTGTTCTGCTTCTTTATTCTCTTCTCTTATAGACATTTTTTTGTTCTTTTGTAATTATGTTTCCAAGTATAGAGCTCACTAGAAAGGAAACTTGAAAACTGCAGAATTGAATTGAATAACTTGACTTAATTAGTCACTAGATCTCTTTATATATAGTGGCATGGAAGATCACATGTGAAATATATCAAACAAAGTGAAGAGAAAGTAAAAACATAATTTAGAGAGAGAGTGAGAGGTTTCTTTATCAGTTAGTTTGACATGAAAGAAGCTATTGCTTTTGGGGATGGTTTGTTCTTGATCTTCATGTTTCTTCTGTCTTTGTTACTTGTAACCATGGCGGTATTTGTTTGCTCCAAAAAGAAGGAAAAGAAGAAGGATTCAGGTTGCTGTTGCTGCTGTAAAGGTGGCGGTTGTGGCGGTTGCTGTGGTGATGGTGGTGGAGGAGGAGGAGGTTGTTAGGTAATAGTATCTCTTGGATACTTTTCCGTACGTACTTGAATTTATGACCAATTTGCTTAGAACATCTAGGCATTACCTAAGCACAACATGTGCATAATCTTACTATTGTTATGCTTAGTATATGATCGGATCCGATTCTTGCATCATCCTACTATCGATCAGTTTCATTTTACTTTAATAGTTCCATCATTTGTATTTTTCTGCATAATTAATCATCTTAATGTATAATTTTATCACCATCTCATGTTAAAAATTTCGATGTAAATATATCATGTCATGATGTATATATATACAAGAGAAATATATCTATCTCAAACATAGTCAAGTATATATTTTAACATGTTAATTGTCTATAGCGTTGGTCGTTGGAATCCAAATAGCGAGTTATTAATAAAAAAAATATTCAAAGAAGTTGATTATGATCGTCCATGTGTTAAGTCCAAACACCGTATCCTAAGACTTTTATCCATCCTTTAAATTGAAAAATATTAAACGTCAAAAATGTAGCCATCTCTGGCTCCAGAGAAACCACAAATTTTCTGAAATGACAAAAACTTGAAGATTTAGAAACATATACGTGATCTTGGACTGAAAGAGTTGAGCAAGTACGTCTATCTTCCTGCGTCAAATTCTCTGTCAGGTTTCTCGATTCGATTTCTGTATCTCGCCATGTTCGTCGTTCTCATGTTTGGGCTTTTTTGAGACTAAGCTATTAGCGGTTCCACCTATTTCCGTAGATTGTAATTTCCCTCGTTTGGGCTTAAGTTTCCCTCTTTTGGGCTTTGTTTATGTTTGTCCGCCTCTTTTGGCCTTAAGTTTCTGGGGGTTTCTATGTACCCGCCGGCCTTGTCTCCGAAAGGATTTCGTTCCTTGTCGGCTTTGTATAACTCAATCGCATTCTATCTATGAAATCCTTTAGACGAAAAAAAAAAAAGAAACATATACGTAACAGAAGCCAATATTTTCCATTCAAACGTCAACTTTTTTTTAATACAACTCTAGGACTTGAACCCATTTGTCACCAAATCATGTTATACAATCCTAGATGGAGTAGATTAATATCTTCATCTAGTTCTCTGACTGTGGCTAAAAAGTTCAACATATACAGTATTTTTGACTTTTGCCCAAAAAAAAAAAACAGTATTTTTGACTTATATATTCAAGAGTTTTAAAATATAAATATTCATGAGAAGAATAGTAAGAGACTGACCTATGAATAAATAAAAATACAGGAAAACAAATTAAGAGTGATAGATTAAAGAGTTTTTAAATGTGTGTTAAAAACTCCAAAACAACTATTAATCTGATTGTGTATTATCCAAATTATCACAAGGCTTGTTTTATGTTTCTGATTGTGTGTATGTAATCTCCTCAATGTGCTTATCAGACTTTTCACTTCACTAATCAATGTGCTTATCAAATAGATACTGAATTAATAGATTAGTGTTTTCATTGGTGCGTAAAACTTACGCGCTATCTTCACGCGTGGGTTTCTTCTTTATCTTAGAACGATTTCTCAAGTTTAGACACAACACAGGTGAGAGAGAGAGAGAGAAAAAATAGTCTTTACTCTTCTTCAGTGAGAGAGAGAGAGAAGTTAGAGCTGTAAAAGCACATGACTTCAATACCATTGGGGCATCCTCAGCCTCCGTCTTTAGCTCCTCAGCCGCCGCATCTTCACGGCGGAGATGCTTTGAAACGTCGTCCCGATATGGATACCGACAAGGTTTTTTTTTCTTCTCTTTTAGCTTAACGTTTGTGTGTATCTCTCTCTTTTCCTCTGATTGATTCTTTGGTGAACAATGCATTTCAATTTTCGTTTTGTGGGTTTCCTAGATCTAGCTCAGATTTTGCTTGTTTCGATGTGTTAGTGAATCGATCTGTGTTCTTTTTAGTCAGCGTTCTTGATTTGAGCTTATTGAAGATTGTGCATTTTGACTTCATAGTAGTTATACTTTTCTTCAGCTGAAAGTTTCAACCTTTTTCTAGTGAAGATTGATCTCTTGAGCTGTTTTTGATTACTAGTAATAAACCTTTGAACCATAAAGAAGAAATTAGGGTAAAGACCAGAAAATTTCTAGTAATAAACCTTTGAACCTTAAAGAAGAAACCTTTCTTTTTTTGGTTGTTAAATTTAACACAAAGTACTTGTGTATCTTCCAGTTTTTTTCCTTTTTCCTGACAGGTTTTGGAGTATTCGTTTAGTTATATGATTCTTGGCCCATTCTGTATTGATTCTGAACTCTTTTGGTCTGTTTTGTTTTGTGTTCTTTTGCTTTGTTTCTCCATCTGACAGAGTTTGTTCCATCCTGTGTCTGATTGTATCTTTTGATTTTGTACAATTTTCTTATGTCCTCAAAATGGTTGACATCTTAATGTTGCTCTACCCATGAAGTTCCACTTATCATTTTTTGGCTTTCCTTTACCTTTAACAACTAGTATGCATTTGTTTTCTCAATTTTGTTAGCCTCTGGTCAATAGGAACATGCGACATCATTCAGATTTTGATTTGGTTATTTTACATGATTGAATTCTCTGTAAATTGGGCATTAACTGTTCTTAGATTTGAATGCTATTTTAAACACAAGTTTATATTCTGGAAGATTTCATATACTTGACAGAACTGAGTAAAACTGATTCGAATCTTTTGAATGATTTGTCTATTGAATCAATATACATCGGAGAAAAACACTAATTGTTGCTACTTTCCTTCATTATTTGTAGACAAGAATAGTTTAATGCCTGTAATAATATGTTCAGGTTTGATTGCAGGAAATGTCTGCTGCTGTTATAGAAGGAAATGATGCTGTTACTGGTCACATCATTTCTACTACAATTGGAGGCAAAAATGGTGAACCTAAACAGGTTGGATTCTGTTGTTGTTAAATCTTTTAAATGATTTAAATCGCAGTTATTGCTCGGGGCACACTACTATATGTAATGTACTTGTTACCTAAGGTTTAGATTAATCATTTCCTAAGTTGCTTTTCCATTATAGAAACTTCAACAAATAGACATCTTTGTGACTCTTTTTTCCAACTTTAAGTTCTACTCACTTATGTTTTCCTCCCTCTGGCCTTTACAGACCATTAGTTACATGGCCGAACGGGTTGTTGGAACAGGATCATTCGGAATTGTATTCCAGGTACCGTTGTGCTTGTCACTGCTAGCATCTTTAGGCAAATGGCTTTTTTTCTTTCCTTTTTGATCAGGTTGTTAACTTACCATTCTAGGCAAAATGCTTGGAAACTGGAGAATCAGTAGCCATTAAGAAGGTTTTGCAAGATCGCCGCTATAAAAACCGAGAGCTGCAACTAATGCGGCTAATGGACCACCCAAATGTGGTTTCCTTGAAGCATTGTTTCTTCTCTACAACCACTAGAGATGAACTCTTTCTCAATCTGGTTATGGAGTATGTACCAGAGACGCTGTATCGAGTTCTGAAGCACTATACTAGTTCAAACCAGCGGATGCCTATTTTCTATGTCAAACTTTACACATACCAAGTATGCATTGTTTTCTACTGTTTGCTGTACACACATACTTGTTGTGTTTATCCTTAAACGGGTTGGAAAATATTTGTGCAGATCTTCAGAGGCTTGGCTTATATCCATACTGCTCCTGGTGTCTGCCACAGAGATGTGAAACCACAGAATCTTTTGGTACGTTGATCTATTGTGGGTTAGTCTTTGGTAACCTGGACTAGATTGTAATCTAATTCTCTGTTATGTTCCTTAGGTTGATCCCCTCACCCATCAGTGTAAGCTCTGTGATTTTGGAAGTGCAAAAGTACTGGTAAGAGGTCTATAGTTTTATTTATGCCCTTTGTTTTTGTATTTTTCTCTGTGCTTATGTGTCTGTGCATGCAGTTGTTAAAAACTCCAATTAAGTGAATATTATGCAAGTAATTTACAAAAGTATGGATGCAGCATTTCAGATATTTCTCTGTGAGCCTGAAATTTGTAACATTTGGCTATTTATATTAGGTGAAAGGTGAAGCAAACATATCATATATCTGCTCTCGGTATTACCGAGCTCCAGAACTCATTTTTGGGGCCACAGAGTATACATCATCCATTGATATATGGTCTGCTGGTTGTGTTCTGGCAGAGCTACTTCTTGGCCAGGTTAGTTTAAATTCTTAACCTGTTGAGTATCTTGGGAAATAAAGCATCTCTCCATAATCTTCTGTAATCAATGTGGTATTATTTATCTTCACAGCCGTTATTCCCGGGAGAAAATTCTGTGGACCAGCTAGTGGAGATCATAAAGGTGAAGTCTTCTTTTCTTAGATTTTACCTTGGCGTCATTTCCTGTCTGTGCTATAATCTAATAGTCTTGTCATGATGTTCTGTGTTGGTTTAGGTTCTTGGTACTCCAACTCGCGAAGAAATCCGGTGCATGAACCCAAACTACACAGACTTCAGATTCCCACAAATCAAAGCTCACCCTTGGCATAAGGTATATATATGAATGTC